TTCCAACCCTCCCCCTGCCTCCATGGCAGACAATCTCCCCCATACTCTCTCTCTACTTTTGGGCATGATGGTTTGCAATACAGATACTGAGAGGTTGTCCGCGAGCAAACTCTTAACAGATGGGCAGAGACCACAGACAAAAGACAAGCAGCCCCCCCAAGCCTGGGAAAAGTCCAATTTCTCCCAGTGGGAAACCCACCCCTGGGTCTGCCCAGTAAAGAGTTAAGAATTTAAAAGTGATGGTACCGGGTCTGGAGCTTACAGTGGGTACTGCAGGGAGGGCGCTGGCCTTGCATACAGATGACCTGGGTTCCATCCCTGGCACCGTACATGAGTTCCCCAAGCCCGCCAGGAGTGACCCTGAGCACAGAGCTAGGAGTAATCCCTGAGCACTGCTGGGTGTAGCCCCCAAATAAAACCTAAAAATAAGTGGCAATTATTGCCTGATCCTGGCCAGAGTAGAGACTGGGGACCCTCAAACACAGCCCACGGGGACGAGCAACTTGGCAGCACCTACTAAGAGTTGAAATGCACTGGCCTGGCCAGACACTGACCTCTCTCCAGCCCCGATTGATTTATTTTTTAAGAAAAAGGGGGTCATGGGACTGGAGCAATAGCACAGCAGATAAGGCATTTGCCTTGCACGCGGCCAATCCAGGTTCGATTCCCAGCATCCCATATGGTCCCCTGAGCACCACCAGGGGTAATATCTGAGTTCAGAGCCAGGAGTAACCCCTGTGCATTGCCAGGTGTGACCCAAAAAGAAAAAAAAAAGAAAGAAAAGAAAAAAAAGAAAAAGGGGGTTAAAGCGATAGTACACTAGGTAGGGTGTTTGCCTTGCATGTGGCCAACCCGGGTTTGATCCCAAGAACCTCTATGGTCCCCTGAGCCCACCAGAGTGGTCCTGAGATTGGAGTAGAGCAAAGGCCCAGAACCCAGCTAGATGTGGCCCAAAATCAGAAAGAAAAAAGAAAGAGAAGAAGGTCTGGACGGACATACAGGACAGTGGGGTGGGCACGGGCCTGGCATGCAGCCAAGCTGGGCTCCGTCCCCGGCACCACACCCTGTCCCCGGAGCCCCACCAGGAGTGACCCTAGAGCAGGGCCAGGAGGAAGCTCGGAGCACCGTCGGGAGTGGCCCAAAAGCAGAAAAGAAAAAGCGAGTGGGAAGGGAAAGGTCTGTGGCTCTAGGGCAGGACTCGGGCCCAGCATGCGAGAGGCCCCGGACTGGGTCCCCCAGCAAGCCCTGAGCTCTGGCTGGCCATATGCAGGGTGACCTGTACCGGCTACTGCCCCAGCCCACATGCTCCTCGCCCACTGGGCATGGACAGGGGCTGGCCCGGGAGGGCTGAGGGGCTCAGGGTCGCTCAGGAGGTCCCAGGGGGCCTCGTGTGCGGCCGTCCAGCATGCAACATGCAGGTGCAGGTGCGTACCAGGAAGCACAGGCCGGTGTCCAGCAGGCATGGGGACTTGCAGGAAGGATGCATCTGCCCGGTCCAGCAGCCCCTGCCCACCGAGGGTCAGCACAGCATCGGGAGAGCGCGCAGGAATGACCTCCCGGTGGGGTCAGCAGCCTCCTGCTCCCCGGAAGACTGGCCCAGGAGGCCGTGCACCGGCTCCTGCACCGCCCCTGGGGTGGGACCCCCTCACCCGATCCCCAGGGCACCCGAACATGCCCCCACGGCCCCATCCAGCAGGGCGGGTGGGGCGAGGGCTGAACGGGGCCGCGGGGGTCTGCTCTGTCCACCCCAAGCCCAGAGAACTCTCCCACGTGGGATTCCAGGGCCCAGTGGGAGTCCAGACTGGGGGACGCACCTTTACACCTGACGCCTCCCCACCCAGTTGCCCAATGGGACTTCTTGGCGAGGACACGACTCCCTGCGTCCTGGAGTTTCAACGCTGGATCAGAGCCTTGGACCGCGGGGACAGCAGCTCGGACAGCGCCCAAGTCCTCTCCAGTATGCGCCAAGACTAGGGAACTGAGTTTCAAAGGCTGGGAACGCTCTGAAGCAATCAAGGAGGTAGCCTGTCTGCACCCGCCCTCTGCCTCCTGCTGACACTTCAGGGTGCCTTGGGCCTTCAGGAGGGCTGGCGAGGAGGCTCTCTGCAGAGTCAGAGGCCCCAGACTGGCCTCTCACCCGGGCTGGAAGAGCAGGGCCCTCCCCGCTCAGGGCCAGCCTGACCGTCCACACCTACGAGGTCCGGGAGCCGCTTTGAGGCAGGTCTGCAGTGAAGCTCAGGTGTGAAATCAGCAGGGCAGGGGACCTGCCTTGCGCCCACCCGACCCAGGTTCAACCCCTGGCACCTCACCTGGTCCTCCGACACCGCCAGGAGTAATCCTTGAGCACCCCCAGGTGTCACCCCAACCCCCCTTGCCACCCCCCCCAAAAAAAAGATTCAAGATCAGATTGGTGCAAGCACCTGGTCGCCAGGGTCTAAAACATGGTGGTTTCATGGAAACGGTCACAAACCGGGGCAGCTTCCTAGATAGGTCCTGGTCGCTCGACCCATTGTGGGGGCTGAGGTCCTGGTCGCTCAGCCCATAACGGGGACTGGTCTCTATGGTACCTGTGATGCCCGTCAAAGGCCATCACTGGTCCCGGCCCCGGCTCCAAACCCAGAGGACACACACGCTTTGCGTGCAGGACCTCATTTCGGTCCCTGGCGCCGCCTGGTGCCCCCAAGGCCACGGGCAGCAGGGAGCAGACCCTGAGCACCACCAGGGCTGGCCCAAGAGAAAAGCAAACACAAGGAACGTCCCATCAGTGTCTGACCAAAGACTAATGATCAGGCCAGCTCAGAACCTCTGGAGAGCACGCTCTGGAGAGCCCTGAGCTCAAGACCTTTATCAGAGTCGCTCCTAGTGCCCCGTAGGTTTCTTTCTTCCACAGGACGCACGACCGTGATCTCCCCTGCAGTGGCACTGCTGAACACCGGACTGTCCGCCTCTCCTCGTGGGGACCGGAGCTCCAAAACCAGACAGCGTCCAGCCAAGGCACTGCATGTGTCACGTGACGCAGAGCCCGGGGGTGACCCACGCCTCAGACGGAGCCCCCCAGCCCATCCCCAGCACTGCACTGTGGCTTGGACCTCCCAGAGCAGCGCGGGCGAGGGCCGCATCTGTTGCTCTGCCCTGAGACCTCGCCCCTCCCTCCCCCCTCTAAACTGAAGGAGGAGTCTGACTCTCTCCCGGGAGCACGGGAAACTGCACCGCGGACAGAAGGGGCCTGCGAACACTTAGCAGTGTCAGGGTACCTGGGGGCTGATGCCAGGCAGGAGTCAGCCCAGGTGAGTCTGCGCAGAAGAGAGTCCGTGTTCTGTTTCTTCTCAGGCTACACAGTCTCCGAATGTTTTCCTCCCTTCGTGCCAGAGGTTCAGATTTCAAGGCCAAGAAGTTAAAACGCCTCGCAGGGACAGAGACCCCCCGGCTGAGGTGCGCGTGCAGTGTGGTCCCCTGAGCACCAAGCCGGGAGTGACCTCCAGCAACACCCCATGAGGCCCCCAAACAAAACAAAAGTTAAATTCAAACAAAAGCCTGTGAGCCCGCGGTGCTCGGGCAGCAGCGCCAGACGCAGTGCTCATTCTGGAGGGACTCTCGTCTGGAGGGTTCCCCCAACGTGCAGCACGGCTCTGGCGTTTTATAGGAAAATGGACACGAAAAGCAACGGCGTTGCTTTGGCCTCATTTTGTCATCTTGGATATCACGGGATATGGAACCACAGTCTTCACAGAAGGGCCCGTTTCAGGCCTTCGGTGTCATCAGCATCTGTGACTGAGGTCGCGTCAGGAAGATTCTAAGACTTGACACTATGGCAGATACGGAGCCTGAGTGTCCTGCCAACATAGCCGGTGTCCTCCCTCCCTCCCTCCCTCCGTCTCTTCCTCCCTCCTTTTCTTCTTTCTTCCCTCCTTTCCTCCCTTCCTTCCTCCCTCCCTCTCTTCCTTCTTTCTATCCTTTCTTTGTTTTTTAGGTTACACCCCATGGTGCTCAGGGCTTCCTCCTGGCTCTGCACTCGGGGATCACTTCCGGCGAGTCCCAGGGGACCATACAGGTGCCAGGGGTTGAGCTCGGGTCGGCCGCGTGCCAGGCCAGTGCCCTCTCTGCTGTCCCCTCTGCGGCCCGTGCTGTTTCCTTTCTGACTCGCAGGCAGGAGTGTCAGACTCGACTCCGCCTGCACTCTCAGCCGTGTCTCGCTGGACTGAACAGTGCCATGCTAGGCACTGCTCCGGGCTCTTTTCCGGAATCTTCCCTGTCCCAAGAGAATGTCCGTGGCAGGGCCGGGGAGATAATGCGGGGCGAAGGCGCTTCCCAGGCACGTGACCAGCCCTGATTTGATCCCACACAGGCTCCCTCAGCGCCTCCGGAGGGACTACTGGGCTCAGAACCAGAACCAGAACCAGGAGGGAGCCCTGAGCCCAGTGGGTATGTGGCCCCATCCCCCTCTGTCGTGGCTGGGGAGGAGCTCAGGGACTGGACGCGGCCCGCACCCGGGCACTGAGCATCGGACCCGCACAGGCCTGGGGGTGTCGGAGCCGGCCTGGGCTTTCCCAAGGAGCCTCCCTGCAAGTGAGAAGGCTGAGGCCGGGTTGCAGGGCAGAACAGCCCGGTCACATGAAACGCCCGGGGTCTGCATTCAGTGCTTTTGGGATCGCCGTAAAATGGAATCTTTAGTTTAATCTCATTTTCGGATTTCATTGCAAGATTTGATGAGGCAAGAAAAAAAAAAAGAAAAGAAAAACCCACAAGTCTAACCCCAAGCACAAACTGCGTTTCCAGCACCGCTGAGTCAAGGGCATGAAGTCAGGGAATGAAGGTGCCGGAAAGCGGCAGAGGCCCGGTCCCCGCGGAGCCTGTGGACAGAGCCGGGCTTGTTCCCGGGAGCCGGACCCGTCCAGGCCTGACGTCAGCCACGCCATTGTCCGCGCCCAGCACCGCGGCCGGCCGGAGTCTCCCGCCCGCCTCACTCACACCCTCGGGAGACGGTGTCCGCGACAGGGGCCATGCGGGGGGCGGCCGGCGTGCTCCTGCTGCCGCTTTTGGGTGTAGGGGCCGCGGTGGCCGCGCTCTGCTCGCCCACCGTCTTCTACAGGGACTGCTGGATCCGGCGCTTCCCGGGGCTGCTCCTGGACCTGGACGAGTCCCAGCGGCTGGGCGCCCAGGTGCTGCAGTACTACTCGGAGAACACAGGCCAGAAGTGCGGCCGCAGCTGCTGTCTCCGCAAGGACGGTGAGCGGGGCCGTGGGGACAGGCCAGGGGGCGGGTCTGAGGCCGGCCTTGCAGACCCCCACGCTGCAGGGCTCCCACGGCACCCCTCAGCCGTCACCCGGATGGCAGAGCCCCGGGTAACTGGGCCCCGGCCACTCTGCGGCCGCCCGGCCTCCTGGCCCACGTTTCTTCCGGCCACTCGCGGTTCCTGGAGCCTGGTCACGCAGCTGGACCTGAAGACGAGTGTCTTTCCAAGGCCCAGCTGGTGACACCGGTCATTTGCAACTCCTGAAATGTGCTGGATCCATTAGGTGGACCACGCAGGGGGTGGACGGAACAGGAATTAGATATGGATCACATTCCGAAAGAATTAAGCAAGGGTCAATTAGCCGAAAAATGGGGGAGGGAGAGAAAGAATGAAAAAAAGAAAAGAAAAGAAAAAAAGGGGAGGGAGAATATTTCAAAATACCTTAATTTGTTTTGTTCTGAAGTTAGGAATCAGGGTGCAATCGCATCCCTAAGGCACCGGAAAACGTTTCAAGGCAAGTTTGCCTAAAGATTTTCAGGTTGCACTTTTCTGAAGAATCACAGATCCTGGAAAGAAAGAAACAAAAAAGTCCCACAGGCTAGGGCGGGAGAGACAGTCAGGCGGGCAGGTCAGGTGCTGGACTGGAGCACTGCACATATCTGCGGGAGCACCACCAGGAGAGACCCCTGAGCACAGGGCCAGGAGGAAGCCCTGAGCACTTCCAGCTGTGGCCCCCAAGCGGACAAAAAGAATCCCGAGCCCCCAGACCATACCCTCACCGAGGATTCTCCAGACTGTGCGTTATTAGACCCGTGATGGCCACTAACGGGCACCAGGGCCAGGAGAGCCTCCTCCTGCCATCTGCACCAGGACCGGCCAGACCATCACGCGGGGGTGCAGCGGGCAGAGACTGGGCACCCAACCCGGCTGGTTCCTGGTAGGGAGAAGGGCCCACGGGTGCCGCCCCCCTCCTGCTGAACGGGCGCCTGAGCTGGGCCTGAGGACGGAAAACGCCTTTTAAGCATTTTCTTCATTATTTGGGGGGTTCTCAAGTGGCGGCCAAGAGGCCAGGGGCCCACTGCGGAGTCAGCGCCCATCCGGGGGCATGCATGCAGCCACACTGGCAGGTCTCAGGGGCCGTGCGGTGCCTGGCACTGACCACTGCCCCGCCCCAGGCCTGTGGGCATCATCATCAATGCGTCACCAGACCAGGCGGCTCAGACCCGCCCCCCTCACCCGCTGAGATCCTGGAGGTTGGGGGGGCACTTCACCCTTCTGTGACCCTCAGGGAAGGGCCCAGGGAGCACAGACGTGGGTGAGTCAGGAGGGAGGGCTGGCCCCCGCGAGTCCACACAGAGTGGGGCGGGCAGGGCAGTTTGGGGTGGCAGGGGGGTCCCGCTGGCCCGCAGCACACACACCTGCGGTCAGAAAGGAGACCGAGGGTTTCCAGAACAGTCTGAGGGATCCAAGGGTTCCCGGCCTGCCTCTCCCCTCCTTGGAAGGCGCCAACTGGGCTCTCCAGCACTGTGGGGTGCTCAGGTCCGGCCGGCCAGCTCTGCCCCCCCACCCTGTGCAGGCACCGGGCTGAGCTCTCCCTGCCCTCCCCCCTCCCCTCCCTCTCTCCCCCATGCCCACCTCCCACTCCCCCTTCCCCTCCTCCCCCCTCCCCCCTTTCCCTCCCCTCTCCCCCTCCTCTTCCACCTGAACCTGAACTTCCTGCTCCTTGCCTTGGGAGTTGGAATGTGGATTCCTGAGCACCCAGACACCGGATCTGCCTGACTCCTGGGGGTGATCCCGTCCTTCTAAAGGCCCTGTGCTGGCTGGCAGGTGGAACCCTGGCTCTGGGCTTCCCTGGGGGCTCCCACTCGGCCCTTTCAATCCAGAAATGCGACCCCCGGGGGTGTGGGGGGGTGCAGGACACACCATGCTTCCTCAGGGTCGGCTTGGATTCGTCTCTGTATCCAGAAACCCCCCACTGGGGCCCGAGAGGTGGCAGCGCGGGGAGGGCACCTGCCCTGCACCAGGGGGCTGCAATCCCCAGCATCCCACATGCCCTGCTAGGAGTGATTCCTGGACACTTGCTGATGTGGCTGAAAAAAAAAAAAAAACAGGGGCTGGAGCGATAGCACAGCGGGTAGGGCATTTGCCTTGCACGCAGCCAACCCAGGTTCGACTCCCAGCATCCCATAGGGCCCCCCAAGCACCGCCAGGAGTAATTCCTGAGTGCATGAGCCAGGAATAACCCCTTGCATGGCCGGGTGTGACCCAAAAAGCAAAAAAAAAAAAAAAAAAAAAAAAAAAAAAAAAAAAAAAAAAAACCACTGGTTTTCTTTCACAGTAAAAGGCAGCTTTGACTGTGACAGAAAAAAACAACCGAGTTTTCTAGATCCCGGCGTCTAGTGCCATAACTCCTCGGGGCTTGAGACCCGGGAAGGTCACTCGGCCGGGGACTCTGCCTCACGCCGGGCTCTGTCCCCTTCCAGTGTCCTGCAACGTGGCCGTCTTCTTCCACGACCCCATCCACGATGGCGCCAACTGCCTGCACGTGCGCTGCCCGGGCCTGGAGAGCTGCGTGCTGGCGCCCGGGAGCGGGGCCGTGCTCTACAACCTCACGGATGGTGAGGCGGGCGCCTGGCACACCAGGCTCTGCTGGGGGTGGGGGGGGAGGGCCGCCCCCAAAGCTGGGCCAGCTGACACTGCCCAGGCTCTGGTGGGGGCTGCAAGGCGTCAAGGGGACGGAACCGTGCGGGCCACCGCCCCACCCGCCGTGCGGGTCGAACGGGAGGGAAGGCGCCCAGGGTGCCGGCGGCACAGCAGGCTCCTCTGTGCGGCCTTCCAGAGCCCGGGGCAGCGCCAAGGCCAGTTCTGGGAAGCAGAGAACCCGGCCACAGGGGGTCAGCTCTGTGTGTGTGTGCGTGTGTGATGTGTGTGTGTCAGATGGGGAGGGGGGGTCCAGGCAGTCAGTCAGCACAGGGTGTGTGTGTGTGTGTGTGTGTGTGTGTCAGGGGGAGGGCCCAGGCAGTGTCAGCCAGCACAGGTGTGTGCATGTGCTTGTGTGTGCGTGTATGCATCTGTGTGTGTCAGAGAGGCAGGGAGGGGGACCTGGCCGTGCTCAGGTGCTGCCCCTGGCTCTGTTCTAAGGGGTCACCCTGGCGGTACTCAGGGCTCCGGGAACGAAGCCTGGCGCGTGCCCCGACACAGCCATGGGAGGTCGGGCTCCCTCGTGGCCAGGCTGGCTGAGCTGCCTGGGCAGGGGCGCGTCTGTCTGCAGGCCCCTGTGCGGCTGACCACAACCTCCCCTTCCAGGCGCGGACCCCGACCTGCTGGTGTTCCAACAGCCCCCGGCCGCCCACCCGCGCACGCGCTCCTCCTCCAGCCCTGGGGAGCGGCCCCGGGAAGCAGGTGCGCGGGGGGTCCTGGGGGTGAGCCCCGAGCTTCCAACCTGGGGGGCTCCGGGCGTGCGCACACACACGGCCCCGCCCGTCTCTGGGGGGAGCCTCCTGCTTCCAGATGCCCCAACCTCCACAGGGGTACGGGAGGGGCCCCCCAGCTCCGCAGCCCCCAGCCCCCCGGCCCCCAGGACGGCAGACACACCACCTTCACACGTGCCCCGGCCCGCCCGGCTGGAGGGCAGCAAGCAGGCCTCCAACAGGACCAAAGGGGGCAGTCCCGGGCCTGGGCCCCCGGGCAGGGCCTCGGGGGCGTCCCCGGTGTGGCTAGTCCCCGTGGCCCTGTGCTCCGTGGTCGCCTTCCTCGGTGGCTGCGCCGTGGCCGCGACCCTGGCGTGCCGTGCCAAGCAGCAGGGGCAGTATCGGCCGGGACAGAGGACGCCGGGGAAGACGCGGCCGGGCGCGGGGGGAGAGAGGCGCTGCTTCCCGAGCGCCCGGCTTCCGCGGTGAGCAGGAAATGTCCACCTGGGCCACCTGGCCAGCGCCCCTTCATTAAAGGTGTCACTCGCTGAACAGCGTCCCTGTGGCGGGGGCGGGGCCGCGTGGGCGTGAGCGACCCCAGTCCTGGGTGTGCGTCAGATGCCGTGGAGACTTCCCCCCAGGGACCGTCCGAAAGCCACGAGCGAGCGGGCAGCACAGGCCGGGCGAGGGCTGCGTCCACGAGGGGCAGGCGGGGCCGGGACACCTGCGGGCACGGCCGTCTCCGGCCAAGGCCGGGCCTCAGCCCCTCAGCCACTAAGATCGTTGAGGTGTGCGCGGGCAAACGCTGCCCCAGCTCCTCCTTCCCTGCGCTTTGGCGAGTCCTCCGGTGCGGGAAGCTGACCGTCTCTCAAAGCTGACTGTCCCTCCAGGGCGGCCACTGAGACCTCGGCATCACATCACACCGTGTCCCTCCAACGCAGCTCTCCCGGGTCCAGCCCCCCATGGTCCCTCTCACGCGCAGGGCCAGGCCTCCCGCGGGGGAGGACGAGAGGGCGGGAGGAGAGTCGGGCAGGCGGCTGAACAAGCGGGCCCGAAAGCCCGTGAGGGCGGCCGGCAGGACCACAGCGAAGTTCGGGGGGGACCGAAGCTTCTTCAGACGCCAAGTGAAGGTGGGGTGGCCACCCCCGTGTCTGTCTGTCCAGCACTGCCTGAGCCACACCCGAGGAGGCGGGCACATCTCAATGCCCCTCAAGGAGTGGTAAGTGGAGTCCCACGTACCAGGCACTGAGCACTTCCGGGAGTCACTGACCAGCAGAGCTGTGGGCCCTCGCCAGCAACCAGGCCAGCGTGTGTTATCTGTGGCCTAAGATGTGCCACCGGGTTAGTTGGTGGACCAGTCTGCAAAGGTCAGAGGCACGGTGGCCCCGGGTGACCGGTGTCAGTCTGGGCGTGTCCCCAAGGGTGCAGTGCTGCTGCGCTCCGGTTCGCGGATTCAGGGCCACAACCAGCCTGGGAAGAGAAGACGGTGCATGGGTGGGGTTCCTGTGCCCCCCAACCCAGAGTCTGTGTGACGACACTGACACACAAACCCCCGGCCTCGCTGGGCTGTCCCGACACAGGCGTGCCCCCAGTAAGCATGTCCCGCCTAAGACGCAGGTGAGCCCGACACCCATAAGGCCTGCCTCACCCGTGACAGGTGTCCCCCGCCAATGACAGGTGTGCCTGACCCCTGTCACGTCTGCTGTACTCACGACACACACGCAGGCCCACGACCCAGACGTCCCTCACACGCTGCCCGTGGTCAGTTGTTTGGAAACCAGAGAAACCAGGAAGAGTGCAGGGCAGGGTAGTAGCGGTCTGCTGCCCTGGCCTGGCACGTGGCCAACCCAGGTTCAATCCCCGACACTCTGACGGTCCCCCCAGCCCTGCCAGGAGTGACCCCAAGCACAGAGCAAGGAGTCAGCCTTGGGAATGGCAACTACGGCCCCAACAGGACACAATCAAAAAGTGCGGTGAGTGGGCTGGAGTAATAGCACAACAGGTAGGGCGTTTGCCTTGCACGCAGCTGACCCGGGTTCGATTCCCAGCATCCCATTTGGTTCCCCGAGCACCACCAGGAGTAATTCCTGAGTGCAAAGCCAGAAGGTAACCCCTGTCCATTGCCGGGTGTGACCCAAAAAGAAAAAAAAGAAGTGCGGTGAAGGCACACACTCTGCTGAGCCAACCCGCAGTGCAGACCTCTGACACGCTCACCTGACCCATGGGGCCCTGGGGCAGCACACGCGACTGACCCCTGCTAGGTGGCACCCGGGGCCGCACACCTGCCCGGCCAGCGCGCTGGCACAGCCGTGCCTGGACCTCCCCCTACCCCCCCTCCAACAAACTCCTGGACCCCCCAGGGCACTGACACCCTGGAGTCCCTCCTGGGGACCCTCGGCGAGCCCCAAGGACCTGTGCCCAGTCGGACTGGCCCGTGGCCGGGTAATCCCCAAGGCGCCCGACACACGAGGCGGGAGCTGCGTGGAACCAGCGGCTTTAATGAGTTCCGCCGACCCTGGGCCCGGGCGCGGGCGGGAGAGGCCGGCGCCCCCGCTCACGGCAGCCCCAGGAGCCTCTTCACTGACTCCTTGTACCGGGAGAGGCCCGCCTCACTGTCGCCCGCGTTCTTCAGGCCCACGACCGCCTCCCGGTACTCGGCCACCTCGCGGGAGGCCAGCAGGTCGTGGCGGGCGCGCGGGGCCACGTCCGCAGGCGCCATGCGCTGCAGCGTGTCCAGGACGGTCCGCTCCGACGGGCTGTTCTCCCACGTGTACTCGTCCGCGTCGGCCTCACCCCTGCTCTGCTCCCACGCCTCCGTTTTCTACGAGCAGAAGAGGAAGGACTGAGTCTCGGGCCGGCCCGGGGACGCCGGAGCTGTGCTCAGTTCCCTGGACACAGACTCCAGGTGCCCGCAGGCCGGTCCCGCGGCGAACCAGGGGCGAGATCAGGCACTGAGCAGGCCCCCGAGGTGAGCTAAGAGCACACAAAGCACAGCCAGACCCAGGCCCAGTACCCTGGAGCTCCCTCTTCTCGTCTGTCTGGGAGCACCCGCTGGCTCTGCGCTGCGGGGGGTGGGGGTGCGCATGAGACTCGCCTCCTACGCGGCGCCCAGGATCGACCAGTCACAGGAAGCGCCCGACCCCACGCAGCTCCCCGTCTCCTGACGACCCCGACCGTTTGTCTCGACCTGGGGGCACTGGCTGGCGGCCCACGATCCGACTCGGGCCGGCGCTTGGGTGGAGCCGCTTTGCCGAGGCCACGGGGCGGCTGCCGAGGGACGCGCCCGGTACAGGGGCAGTGTGCGGGTCTGAGCGTGGACAGTCCAGGGAGAGGCCGGTGAGCAGCCACGTGGGGCCCGGCGCTGGCCCCAGGGGGAACCAAACGACCGTGAAGCTGAAGGCGCAGCGAAGCCAACGCCGGGCGCTGAGCGGCCCTGGCTGCCTGGAGGCCGGGCTGCAAGACACCCGGGGCCTCGGGAGGGCAGCGAGCCGGGTGGGGCACGAGGGCCGACGCCCGGCAGGGTCGACTGTGCGTCAGCAGTGAGCACAGCCGGGCCGACCCCACCAAGGGGTTCAGAGGGGGCGTGTGCTCTTCAGCCAGAGCGCAGAGCTCGTGCCCGGCCCCTGCGCTGTCCTGGAGCACCTCAGCCGCTGCCGCTCACCCCGGGCTGTGGCCTGAAGGACGAGCCCCTGCCCCAGCAGGAGGGCGCCCCGGCCATGCCATGCCATGCTGTGCCGCTGCTTGCGGGATGCCCACTGGGCAGCGGGAGGGACCAGGAGCCCTGGCACACTTGGCACCGCCTGGGAGCTTGTCTGGGTCAGCCAGCGGACGGCCACCCTCCAGAACGTCTACGACTCTCCACGTTAAACACACAGACCGCCAACGCCCTCAATGTCTGCTCGGCAGCAGCGGCTCTGAACTGCAAAGGCACCTGGGTCATCTGGGCGTTTCCTTTTGGTTCTCCTGCAGCCACACCCCAGCAGTGCTCCGGGGGGACTCCCGGCTCTGTGCTCAGGGATCACTCCAGGCAGGGCTTGGGGGAACACACGGGGCGGCGGGGACAGGGAGCAAACCCAGGTCGGCCACGTGCGGGACAAGGTCGCTCCGCCCCTTCTGAGTTCTGAAGGCCCAGGCGCGAGCACTGTCCGTTCCGAGCCTGGCCCCGGGTGACCTGAGGGCCTCAGCACCTCCCAAGCCCCCACACCCAGCTGAATGTGCCACAGGGGCCAGCTGGACAGGGGCAGCCCGCTAACGTCTGCACACTTACCCAGGACTCGTGGTACAGGACCGTTAGTAAGTACATTGCGTAATCATAGTTCTGTCTCTTTAGCGGGCACCTTTGGGGGAGAGAACGTAAGACTTTTAGAATGCAGCATACGGAGTAATTTGCAAATTATACAAGCACCCGACGCAAATGATGGCTATGTTCAGGGACTTCCTGCCTGCTTCAGAACAATTCTAACACACTAAAAGTAATCTAAGCAGTTTATCACTTGAGAACACTGAAAAGTGACGTCAGTTATATTTAGCATAGGGCTTTGCTTGCATCACAAATGGAGTTATTGGTAATAGCTTTATACAGTGCTGTCCGACCTTCCTGAGTCAGACTCAGCAGTGCTCAGGGCTCACTCCCAGCTCTGTGCCTAGGCATCACTTCTGGCTCTGTGCTCAGGGCTGACTCCCTGTTCTGTGCTCACGGCCCACTCCCGGCTCTGTGCTCAGGGCTGACTCCTGGCTCTGTGCTCAGTGCTCACTCCTGGCTCTGTGCTCAAGGCTGACTCCTGGAGGGGACCCGGGGACCGTACTGGGTGCCTGGGAGAGAACCCAGGTGAGCTGCCGGCAAGGTAAGTGCCCTCCCCAGCAGCCTTGGCTCCAGCCCCTGTGCAGTGTTCACTATGACCGTGTCCAATCCCAACGCCTAGATCTGGCAGAGTTAAGAGTCGGACAGAAGGCTGGAGGAACAGAACCAAGGTTAAGGCATTTGCTTTGCCTGTGGCTGACCCAGGTTCAATCCCCGGCACCCCATACGCGTCCCCCAAGCCCTGCCAGGAGTGACCCCTGAGCACAGAGCAAAACAAAACAAAACAAAGAGTGTGGCGAGGAAACGCGCTTCTCTGCTGAGCTGACCTGAAATGCAGGCAGGGTCACGCGCACCTGACCCCGGGGTCACAGGCAGCACGTGCAACTGGCCGTGCTGGAGAGTGACCCCCCTGCCCCACCCTTTCCTGTGCATGCTGTGAGGAAGCCGGGGCATCCAGGCCGGCAGCCTCTCACCTGTCCGTCCTGATGGTGAGCACGTCTGTGCTCTTGCAGTACCGCTCTCCCACAAGCTTAATCAATTTTTTCTTCGCATGATCATCCAAATTCAAACTGGAAAGTTTAACCTAAAATAAATAAATAAATATACACACACACACACATATAGGAAACAATTACTTTAATGAAAATTAAATTACTTTAATAGACTTTAATATATAAGAGAACAGAGGCAATGCTCTTTACATTAGCCGTAAACAGCCAAAAGGAAGCCTTCCACACCCCTCACGGAATCAGCAAGGGCCCCCGAGGGGCGAAGGAAAGGCCTGAGCAGTGCCAGGGCTATGCCGTGCTGAGGGCCCCACCCGAGCCCCCCCTGAGGGCGCACTGCCAAGAGAAGCGAGAGCCTGGGCAGAACCAAACTCGGTGGCAGCAAAGTCGATGTAAAGGATAAATGGAAACAAGAGCCCTAAGAAACTTCCACCCATCAGGCGATCGTTCTAACTCGTGTATCGGCACTTCGAGGACCAACATCTGAGAGAAGGTAGAAGGTGCCCGCCATAGAGGCAGTCTGGGGGGCAGCAGGAAGGAAACTGGGCACGAGGGTGGTGGGGAATGTGCACTGGTGGAGGGACGGGTGCTGGAACTCCGTATGACTGAACCCAATCACGAACAGCTCTCTCACGGTGATTCAATTAAAAAAATTCTTTAAAAAGCCATTCCATGACCACTCTGACCACTAATAAATAATACGGAGAATTCCTTCTAAGGAAATCACAAATTTATCACGTTATAAAATACGGCCACATCTAAACATATAAGAAACACATCACTTCTTTCCAGCAGAATGAGAATTTGGGGGAGTGATTTTTCCTTTTAAAACTCCCCTGGCAGGGACTGAAGACCGTTTAGAAAGCCGGGCCCTTGCCGTGCGTGCAGTGGACCCATGTTCGGTCCCTGGCACACCATGCGGACCCCACGCACCGCCACGAGCCATCTCTGAGCACAGAGCCAGGAGTAAGCTCTGAGCACCAAGTGTGGCAAAACCTCTCCCCTAAAAAACATAGCCCCCTCACTAAAAGGGTACCAAAAAATCATGAAATTTAATAAGAAATGTAAGACTTTTCATTTCCAAAAATTTAAGTCTTCTGACTTTATTAAGAAATTGTCAAAAATAAGCGACAATGATGCCGATAGCTATTAACAGCCACTTCAGTACTCACGTTTGCGTGAACACTGTTTTAGGGGGCTCCCCCGGCTATCCTTGGAAGACAAGCCCAGGACTCCTGCATGCAAAGCAAACACTCCACCCTGTGAACCCATCACCCCCCGCCACCCTATGGACATTTACAGTGTCCTTGTTACACGGGGCTCAGGCCAGGCCACAGGAAGCCCCATGTGCCGTGCCTGCGTCACTCCATCCATCCCAGCCGAGCGCCTGGCACGACAGGCCATGACGTGCTGAGCTCCCTCACGGTCCTGAGGCTGGTCTTTATCCCACCTGCCGTATTTCAGTACCCAAAACTGCACTCGTCGCCTCACCGGAACTGACATTTCCAGTAGGATGTGTTCTGCGTAGCCGCGTGATGCCCGTGTCCCAGAAGCTAGACAACTGAGACACGCCGGGGGGGCGAAGCGATAGCACAGCGGGGAGGGCGCTGGCCTTGCATGTAGCCGAACCGGGTTTGACCCCCGGCATCCCATATGGTCCCTAATGCAATGCCAGGAGCGATCCCTGAGTGCAGAGCCAGGAGTAACCCTGTGCATCACCAGGTATGACCCAAGAAAACAAAACCAAAAACACCACATTAGGAATTACTTTCCGCCGGCACTTCAAGGTCCCCGGTCAATGATGTCGAGGAACAAAGGAAGGGTGGGGGGCACGAAACAGCCAAGGGGCGGGCTTGAAGTGAGCACAGGCTCAAGGCACTGGTCCTGCAGCAATGCCGGTTTGATCCCAAGCACCGGCTCCGACTCGCCAAGCCCCACCAGGAGTGACCTCGGGCAGAGTCAGGGCAAGCCCCGCGCACAAAACCAAAGCGCGCTGGTAATGTTTATTATAGAGGGGCGTGTCTGCATGTCCACTTTAATCCCACACAAAAGACCCCAAAACAGGAAACCTTCGTCTGAACTGACTGACGCTGCGCCCCGAGACTCACTGTCTCTTCTCTGGTGTTCCACGAGCCACCAAAATCCTCACAGACGGCTGGGAGACACACAGGGGTGGGGTCAGCTGACATGCACTGCAGCCCCCCAGCAGGTGCAACTGTGGGGTCCACCAGCAAGACCCCTCCCCCCCCACCGGGTCACCCTCCAACCCTAAGCTCCTGAGGGCCTCTCTTAGGTGGAAGGAGTTTAGAGACACGGAAAAGCTTGACAGTTAGTTACACAATGTAACAAAAAAGTTACAAGCTGATCAGACACCACTGCCGCCTCTCGGACCCCATTCCCTGTGGTGAGCTCAATCCCGCCTTCCAACTGCCCCGTGGGACAGCTCCCCGTGGGCTCCGGACACCATGTCCACATGCTACGTATGGCCCACCTGCAGGTCATCACTCACCCTCAACGTGACCACCCGCGCCTTGGGGTTCCGGATGGACGGCCCCGACGAGACGTAGTCGGCCGTCTCCACCTCCACGGGGAAATGCTTCTCGCACTTCTCGCTGGTGTCCAGAGCCGCCGGCCACTCGGTGCAGAAGTCTGTGGGTGGAGATGGGGTGTCGGTGAGAGCGGCCCCCGCGGCCCCTCCGGGTACCCCTGCGGACACACACAACATCCGAGCAAGAGGCACAGTCTGGGCGGCCCTGCGCTCCGAGGGACCCAGGAGGACGTTCCGGAGAGCACAGAGCAGGCACACACAGGCCTGCCAGCTCCTCCACAGTGCCCGAGCGAACGGGGACAGATTTCAAAGGCGATGGCAGGTTCAGGCCTGAGGGAAGGTTCCAGAAAACTGGTCCCGGGAACGGAGAGCAGCTCCCAGGGGGCCCGAGTGACCATCACAGCAGCCCCACCCCACGCCTGTGGCTTGGCTCCTGGCCTCAGCCTGCGGCCTAGCCATGTCCTAGGCCCCCTTTCCAGTGCTTGGACACAGGCAGCATGCAAGGGACAGAAGAGCCCCCGGCCGGAGGAGGAGGAGGGTCACCGTGCCCCTGTCCCCCTAGGTCCCCTCAAAGAAAACTTCATTCCGCGGCTCCTTTGCAGAACAGCCCCCAGGACCTGGTTCCACGGGCCGGCCCACGAGCCTCGCCTGCGCTGGAGCCACGGGGCCTGGTGGGGGCCAGACAGCCTCGCTCCGGGGACGGTGCCTCCATTCCCGGGACGGAGCATCTGTCAGCATTCCCAGTCTCCGAGCACAACACTGACGCTCAGAGCCGTGAGGGCACCCGGCAGGCTCCCGGGGGAGCTTCTGCACAGCCCACGCCCAGGCCAGCCCCGCAGAGACGGCACAAGGGAAATAGGCCCGACTGTTTCTTTTCTCCTCGACTGCAGTGACAGACGGTGGCCCCCGCTCTCTCTCAGGGACCCAGTGACGGCCTGAAGGAACGGCCAGGAGACCTTGCAGGGACTCGGCTCTCGCTCCCCCCCTTCCCCCCCCCGCCCGGTAATTATGGTCGTGGTCGGCCGTCTGACTTTCCTGCGCTTCAGAGTTTCCACTTGCCGGCTGGATATAAAACATGAACTGACCTACTTTCAGAGAAAAAGGAAAAGACAGATCTGAGAAGCCTCTGGGTTATTTGGAAGAGAATTCCAGAAGCTGGCAGAGCGCAAGGGTAAAATTAGAAACGATTAAAGTACTTTAATGCTGTAGAACGTGCTGCGGCCTTTTCTGAATCGGCTGTTAGGAAAGTCTTTTCTTTAAAAACGCGCCAGCGTCTCAGGGACGCTGCACTTACACGACCAGCCCCCAGGTTACGGATGCACATAAAAACCGCTCTGTGAAAAGAGAAAGGGGATTCATCGCTTGGCACAGAATTTGTTAACTGGCTTTAGAAAGACTCCAAGGGCCATCAGTGACCAGTACCCACCGGGGCCAAGGCCCGAATCCTCCCAGAAGCCCCGGAGAGAAAGCCTCTGGGAACACTCGGGTGACCCGTAACGCAGCACACCAGGCCGCATGGGGCAGGCCGAGAAGCTGCCGTCTCGGGAAGCAGGTGCTGAGCTCAGCATGGCTGGCTCTGCTCACACGATCGAAATCAAACCTCAAGAAGGGAAACGACTGAAAACTTCAAAAGAGGCCTCTGCATCTCTCCTTGCATTTCTCAAGAAAAGGACCTTCCCAAAGCTCAGATTCCAACACAACCAGGCTCGCCATCCCATTTTCACCGCGTCCCCCTCCCGGCCAGGACCCTAAGCAGGCGGACGCGACCCCGAGGCAACCCCTTAACAACCCGCGGCAAGCTCCTGACTGAGATGTCCCCGATGAGCCAGCGCACCTCGAGGACCCTCCGGCCAGCCCAGCCCTGCGCAGAAGGCCCAGCAGGAAGGACATATGGATGGCCACTGGGGCTGAGGGGCGCCAGGCCTCAACCAGCCAATAAAACCAGTAAGGAGCTCTCAGAACAGACCCGTGTCGCTAGGACACGTGGCCCGGATCAGGCACTGTATGTGTGTGTAACAGAGTGTGTAGCTGACATACAAGCAACACAATCACGACACATGTGGATCAGGCTCGTCCCCCACGCCCGGTCCCCCGAGCACCTCTAGGAGAGATTCCTGCGCAGTTAGCAGCAGCCCTGAGCACCTTCGGGTGTGGTCTCCCCAAAGGCTGAAAACTAAGATAAATGTGTTATGTACAGAGGGACCGAAACACACGCAATGAACAGACCAACGTACGATGGACGGCAACGAGGAGGAAGGAGGCGACACGCCCGCACTGCATCAGTCCCTGCCTTGTCCAAACTCAACTCCGCAGTCTCCCCACCAGGATGCGCAGGGGCTCGGCCCCGCCCTAAACCACCTTCAGCTGCGTGCAGCGAGATGTCTCCTACCCCCTCACTTCTCTGAGATGACCCACCCCTGACCCGCCCGGGCTGACTAGGACTTCTGATTCTGTCGTCCAGAGCCACTCGTACGGTGCTGAGCAGGAACGGATAAGCACACACCTAAGTGCAGACCTGACAGACAACGATTCATCGAAGACAAAGGAAAAATTCTCCCTTGCAAAAAGAAACTCAGCCTCAGAACGTACCATCCTCAGAGACGCCTTCCCCTGTCTCTGAGCCGTCGCCGACATGGAGCTGTAGGTTCAGGGCATCTCATGTGCCCACCTGACCCAACTACACCTGTCAGAGCGGTCACATGGCCCCGGTCACACCTTGCAGGGAAGACCATCCCCTCCGTGCTCTGAACCCACCGGCCAACATCGCCCTCGCCTGCCCCCTCCCCCACGACTCACGGCACCTTCACAAAGTTTGGCTTTGAGGCTTCCCCTGTAAGAGAAACCGGATTCTGTACTCCTGCGACTGTTTCCCCTTTGTGATGCCCACTCTGGTCACAAAGGGCCAACAATGCCCATCTCCAGAGTGAACAGTTCATGGTGTAGTCATGCCTACACGCGCGCACGCACACACACATACACACACACACAAATCACAGACACACGCAAATACACAGACACATATGCATATGCATGCACGCACACACACACACACACACACACACACACACACACACACACACCCTCAAGCCAGTGATCAATGGGGGCTGTTGTGGGTGCGCTGGCGTCCCCCAGGGGCAGCTGTCCCCCCAGCCCTGGGCTTCCACTCTCCGCGTCACCCTCCTGCCCGGCGACGGGTGGCCCTCTGGTGGCCATCCACAGAGCTCCCACAGACCCCGGCAGGGCCAACCCCACTCTGCCCCGCCAGCCTCCTCACGGGCTGATGTACACGTAACGCTGCTGTCTCACTGACGCACATTCTCCTCCCGTGTATCTGTCAGGAAATGCGGCCTCATAAAATGAATTCGGAAGCTCCCCACGGCTGGAAACGGGATTCCAAGTTCACAGAGTGATCACTTACCTTTGAGAGCCTGGCAGTGCTTTCTGATTGCCACGGGAGTCAGATGCAGGAAATTGGGAACCTTAAGAGAGATTTCAAAGGCACGTGAGTCAAATGTTCTAACATATGAAAGATAAGAATTTCCTCGAAAGCTAAAACAAAGGCCCAGTCTTCTGCCCCACACGGCCACGTACAAGCCCAGGCACTGCTGACCCGATGCCCAGCACAGACGTTCAAGGGGCCGAGTGAATGCAGTGGGCAGGGTGCCTGCCTTGCACACGGCTGACCGAGGTCTGACCCCAGCAGCACCGAGTGTCCTGAGCGCAGAGGCAGGGCTAAGCCCTGAGCGACGCCGGGTGTGGCCCACAAACAAACAAACCAACAAGCACCCCCTGTGACACTGAGGGCAGGACAGGGATGGGAAAGAATAATATTCCCTGACAGTCTCCCTTTCTCCATCCAAAGTTGTAAGAAGCAGATCCCGGAGGACGAGACACAGAACAGGGTCGAAGCTCGTGCCTGGCACACAGCCCAGCCCAGTCCAGCCCCGAAACCACATAGTCACCCAGTGTCGCCAGAGACAGCCTGGGGGCAAGATGACCCGACAGCACATCCTGGGGCCCCAGGACGGGACCCCAGGCCTCCTGAGCACTGCTTCGGAGAGCCACCCCACCCCAGAAAAGCGGAGTCTGAGGCTGGAGTGCAGGCGGGCACCCCCATGCGCCGCACACACGGCGCAGAGCCTTTACTCCCCGGAGCTCAGCCTCCAGGTGGGGCCCTCCGCTTTCCTCACTCTCGGCTGAGAGACGCAGCGGAGAAAGGAAAAGGGAAGCCCGGGACTAACCAGCCACATTCTTAAATGCTGGATTCTCTGTGCTCTCGCGATCACGGGTGATCCAGACACCCATTCAATACTCCGGGAAGGAAATTGAAAGCTAAAGGGGACAGGGGAGGAAGGGCAGGGAGGAGGCCCAGGGCAGTACCCTCACCTTGAGGAGCTCCAGGTTGCCCTCCTTGGCCATGGGCACGCCCCTCTTCACGGGGTAGCCCATGCGCACGGGGAGGGGCACGGCCGAGGGCTTGAACGGGGCTGCCACGGGGTACACGCTCGGCCAGTCCTGGTCCACGGCCATCTTCTCTGTCCTGGGGGGCAGCGCCTGTGGACAGAGGGGGCGTCCGTCGGGGCCCGCGGGGCAAACCCAGGTGCAGCCCGGGCAGAGCCAGGAGAGGCACCACGGCCAACAGGCCCACGCGGGCGCCAAAGGCCTCGCGCCCTGGCCTCCGGGAACCTGCCTCTCGGCAAGGCGGCTGCTGCAGGGGACCCGGCCCACCGGCCATCCGCCACCCGCCAAGGTCCCTGACTCCTCATTCTGCCCGCGGAGGGGTAGGACACAACTCGCAGTGTCTGGAAGTTTGACAGAAGCAGCGCCCGGGGTGACGCTGAGAACTCGGAAACAAGGGCAATCCGAGGAAGATGACAACCGAGAACTTCAAGTCCACAGAGTCGCTCAGTCGGTAAGGACGGGATGGGAAAAGTCTATTTCCTAGACCCAGACACCGGCCACGTGAGGCTCAATCAGACCGACATGAAAACGGAAACCAGCAGGGAGGGCACCTGCCGGGGTCCAGCCCTGTACCCCACGTGGTATCTGAACACTGCCAGGAATAATTCCCAGGCGCAGACCCAGGACTGGCGTGTGCAGTAGCTCCCCGCCTCCAAAAAAGCAGGGGCCAGAGAGACAGTACAGCGGGTAGGGTGCTTGCCTGCCCCAGAGCGGACCTGGGTTCGATCCCTGACACTACACCAGGTCCCTCCGCACCGCCAGGGTTCCGTGAGCAGAGAGCCAGGAGTGAGGCTTGCGCAGACTGCAAATCAAAAATAAATGAACAACTGCACGTCCTGGTCTGTGAACTTCTCCAAGAGGACTCACTCTTGGCGTCTGGCCACACGAGCGTTCCGATACAGCCCCCACGACCGACTGTCCCCATCAGCCCACACTGGCATCACTTCCGAGCTTCTGGGCACCCCCGAGCCAAGAGGACCGAGCAGGCATGACCCTGACCTTTCTCCGGAGAGGCCTGTCCGGTCTGGACGTTCTTGCTGGTGGCCCTGAAAGACAACGGCAGGATGAGTGTGAGGCAGGGAGTCGGCGTGTGCGGACAGACAGCTCTGCAGGCTCGGGTGAACAAGCCGCTTGACCAAAAGGGACAGTCAGAAACAGTTACAGGGGCTGGAGCAATACCCAACCCAAGCACATCCCCACTGCCCCGGCAGTCCAAGCCCTGCCTGCCTCTTGCCCCACCCAGGACTGAGCTCACAGGGCAGCGAGGATGGAGAAGCCCAAACCATGACCCCTCGCCTTCCTGCCTTCCCACGGGCATCTAACTCAGAGGAAAGTGCAGAGCCTGGGCGAGCAGGGAGGGGGCTTGACTTGCTTGCGGTGGACCTGGGGCAGATCCCTGCAACCACAGATGGTCCCGACTCTGTCAGGGGTCATGACCCCTGAGCATCACTGGGTGCAGCCCCCACACCAAAACCAAACCCCATGTCCCAATAAGCGCTCTTCCCGGGAGTGGCCACCGCTCCTCGAGGCGCCCAGACCCCAATTCCTGGCCGGCCCACGGGAACCCTCAACAGTGGGACCACCACCCAGATCCCCGCTGCAGGGGGGACCCCCCCTCCCCCGCCTCCAGGAGGTCCTTCCTGACTACCCCCGCTGAACTCTGCCCCCAGCGCCTCCTGCCCAAATCTCTGAGCCTGACAGCAAGCCCGGCCGGGGAGAGCCCACCTGGCTCCATCGCCTCTGCCAGCCCCTGCCCAGGACACTCAGAGTCCAGTACCTGCAAGAGCTGCTAGAGGGAAGGGCTGGGGAGGAAGGAAAGGCAGACAGGCCACAGGGAAGAGTGGGGCACTAAAAAACTCAACTTTTATCCACCCTCCACGAGAAGTCACCGGGGTATTCGGAGCCCCTGCGGGGCAGGGTGGGCCTTGAGCTTAAGACCCCTTCCTGGGGCGGCCGGCGCTGCACAGACGAGGACAGTGGGCACAGGCCGGTGGTGCGGGCGCAGGGGCCCCTGCAGGGACACCCAGTGGCCCAGGCTAGGTGGGCATCTGGCACTGCTCCGCCTCCCAGGACCCAAGGTCACCTCCAAGGCCTCGGAGGGGGCCACCCCCGCCCCAGGAGGCGCGGCGGGGCCGGAATTCGGGGCTGCGCGTGCACCCGCCGGCCTGCAGCGCGACAGCTCCCCCTGAACAGAGCCCTAGGGTGCACCCCTGCTCCCGGCTGCAGCCAGGGCCCCTTCCCCCTGCGCCCCTGCGCCCTGCCCCCTGCTGCAGCCAGGCACAGGTGCGCCCTCGCCTCTGCGCCCAGCTACAGCCTGGCCCCCTCTCCCCTGACCCCTGCAACTCCGCGCCCAGCTGCAGCCCAGGCCCTTGTGGCCTACGCCTCTGCCCCTGGCCCCCAGCACCCTACGCCGGACCCCTGGCTCTGCACCCCTGCGCCCTGCCCCCGACCCTGGTTCTTCACCCCTCTGCCCTGCGCCCGACCCCTGACCCCTGCCCCCGACCCCTGGCTCTGCACCTCTGCCCCCCTCTGCCCTGCGCCCGACCCCTGACCCCTGACCCCGACCCCTGGCTCTGCCCCCTGCGCCCCCCCCCGCGGCGCACACGCCCTCGGACCTGGTTGGGGACTTGGCCGCGCGGCGGCGGCGGCGGCGGCGCAGAGGGTCCGCGGGGCGGCGCAGGGGGTCCGCGGGGCGGCGCAGGGGGGTCGCGGGGCGGCGCCGAGGGGCCGCAGGGCGCGGGGCGCGGGCCGCAGCCACCACAGACCCCCCGGGAGCGCGGCGGCCGCCATGGCGGGACTCGCGACTGCGCACGCGCGCGCCCGCCCCGGCGCCGGAACCGGAAGTGCGCGGGGCCCGGCGGGGTCAGAGGGCGAGTCGGCGGCCCCGCCCGCGGGAGCGACGCCCCGAGGGGCCGCGCTGGGGCGGCGGGCGGGCGCCGGGGCGCTGGGGGAAGCCGCGCGGGGGGTCGGGCCCCCCCTCCGGGCTGCAGGGCACCGACGCGCGCTCCGCGGCAGGACGCTGGTGTGCACCGACGTGCGCCCTGCTGCACGCGCCGCTGCAAAGTGCGCTCCGCTGCGTGCCCGTGGGCGAGCATTCGTGTGCACGCACTTGCTGCACGACCACTAACGTGCATGGATGTGCATTAATGTGCACTCTGCTGCACGCACACTAACGTGATCCCCGCTGCACGCACATTTTTGTGCGCTCTGCTGCATGCTCCGACGCATGGCATTAACGTGCGCTCCGCTGCGTGCCCGTTGGCGTGCCTTAACGTGCACGCGCTCTGCTGCACGACCACTAACGTGCATGGATGTGCATTAATGTGCACTCTGCTGCACGCACACTAACGTGATCCCCGCTGCACGCACATTCGTGTGCGCTCTACCGCATATGTTCCGCCGCGTGACATTAACGCGCGCTCCGCTTCATGCCCGTTCACGCGCGCTTCGCTGCACACACCCCCGTCAATGTGCGCTCCGCCTCTAACCCGCTTGGTCTCATTCCTCCGTGGTAGGAATAAGACCTAAGAAAGCATGGCCATTCTTTTTTTTATTTTTTTGCTTTTTGGGTCACATCCGGCGATGCACAGGGGTTACACCTGGCTCTGCACTCAGGAATTATCCCTGGTGGTGCTCAGGGGACCAAATGGGATGCTGGGAATCGAACCTGGGTCGGCCGCATGCAAGGCAAGCGCCCTCCCCGCTGTGCTATCCCTCCAGTCCCCAAGCAAGGCCATTCTTTATGAGCTTCTGATTCTCCGCCTTAGGATGGTTTCATATGAAATAGTCAATAAATACATCCTTTTTCTTTCTTTTTTTCAATTGCTGGGGGTATGTCTATTCAAAGGCTGGAGCCATAGCACAGCAGTAGGGCGTTTGTCTTGCATGCGGCCAGCCTGGCTGGCTCGGGTTCGATTCCTCCGCCCAGCAAGCTACCGAGAGCATCTCGATATGCCAAACACAGTAACAACAAGTCTCACAATGGAGACATTACTGGGCCTGCTCGAGCAAATCGATGAACAACGGGAGGACAGTGCTATGGAAATGTCTATTCAAAGCACAAAACTCCAGGGCTAGAGAGATAATACAGCCGAGAGGGAGCCTACCTTGAAGGCGCTGGCCCAGATAGATACCCAGCACCCCAGAGCGTCCCTCAAGCCCTGCCAGGAGTGATCCCTGGGTACAGAATCAAGCGTAAGCCCTGAGCACAGCTGGGTGTGGCCCAACAGCACAGCACCTGTGCAAAAAAATAATTTATTTATTTTTTTAAAGAACAAAGCTGTTTAATTTCTTACTGTAAATACTGTAGATCAGCTTGAGGAACCTGAAAGAGAGAGGCTGGGAAGATGGCACGTGCCCTTTAGTCACCAGTAACTTGTGTACTCCCTGAAAACAAAAAAAATAATAATTTTTTAATAATCCAGGAGACTCTTATTTTTGAACAAACTCCTCTCATGCCATGAATCCCCAGGCAATGGGCACCAGCAGCTCAGGTGGGCACTGCAGGGAACCCAAGTCCAGTCCTCTTTGGCTTCCTTCCTTTCTGATCATTTTCCTCCACCCGGGGCTGGAGCGATAGCACAGCGGTAGGGCATTTGCCTTGCACGCAGCCAGCCCGGCTGAGCCGGGTTCGATTCCTCCGCCCCTCACAGAGAACCCGGCAAGCTAGCAAGAGTATCTCGTTCTCACGGCAGAGCCTGGCAAGCTCCCCGTGGCGCATTCGATATGCCAAACACAGTAACAACAAGTCTCAAAATGGAGATGTTACTGGGCCCACTCAAGCAAATCGATGAACAATGGGAGGACAGTGTTCCTCCACCCAGTCCAGAAAGCTGTTTTGACTCTTAAAGTGCTTGGTAAGCTCGTTAGGAACATTCATTCTCTTGGCAAGAACCTTGCCCTGACCTGTTCGTTAAGGACAAGGCCAACAGCATGCTGGGTGCCGTTGTGGACCCTTCCTGTTTGCCATGGTAGCATTTGTGGGGTGTTCCTTCTTGGACAGTGCCTGTCCCCCTTATGTCCACCATATCACCTTTCTTGCATACCCACATGCACTGACCATGTTTTCTGAAAGGTCTAGAGGACATAAAGTGGGGCCCGTCCTCTTTCCCTTTGTGCTGGTCATTGGGGTGATTTACTGAAAGACAGTGGTTCCGGCCAAAAGGAAACCAGACAAAAGTTTTATAGCAAGAAAAATAAAAATCAACTGACTCTTAGTAATAGCAGGTATGGCAGAGGTATGCAGGTATTCCAGAATATTCTGTCTGTGAGCATTTCGTGTGTGGTGTGGTCAAGGTGGAGGTGAATGCATGAGAAAAACAGTCATTTTAAAATAATCACCATCCTCCCTCTTATGGCCTCTTACCATCCTGTTATTTGCCCAAAGGACGAGCAGGGTGTATTGGATTTATTCGTTTTCTAGGGTTTTTGTAAAAAAAAAAAAAGTACCACAACAGGTTGACTTAAAGTCATAAACTTAATTCTATCACAGTTTTGGAGGCTATAGGTCCAAAAATCAAAGTATTGGCAGTGTTGGTTTCTTATGAAAATTTTTGGTTTGTTTCGAGGTCACACCTGGAGATGCTCAGGGTTTTTTTCCTGATTCTGCACCCAGGAATTACTCCTGGCAGACTCAGGGAACCATACGGGATGCCAGAGGTCGAACCTGGGTTGGCTGCATTCAAAGCAAGCACCTTACCTACTGTACTGCCCTGGTCCCTGCTTACGGATTTCTGAGGGAGAATTTCTCCTCATCTCCATCCTAGCAATCTGTAATGCAATGACGCATCATTCCAGTGTTTGCCTCCCTCTGTGCCTGTATTCTCTCTGCTCCAATCACGAGAGTAAAGGTAAGGTGTATTACTCTGGTGGATTTTAAGATTAATGGTAAGGTGTATGACTCGGGTGGATGCAGGGTTTGCACCCAGCGCCTGCTTTTATGTGGTCCCAGGCACGGCCTCTCTAAGCCCTCTGAACTTCAGTCCAATGGAACAATCCTGCCTCCCTTGGGATCATAAATTGTGGCGTTGGAATTAAGCTCAGGGCCAATACAGACACCTTTTCTGTCTTTTGTTTATTGTTGTATGATAGAATGCAAGGCCATGCCATAGAAATGTAAGGTCAGAGGAAATATGAATCCATATTGAATTAGTTCATAGTTTCCAAGGAAGATGTCTGGGCTTTGATGCACGGCCTTCTTACCTGCCTCTCTCCCTAAGTCTAAGTGAATAACTGGTGTTGTGACGTGTGTTCGCTAAACCAAGCACACGGAGACAGTCCATGGCGGGGAACAAGGAGGTCTTCATGACACCAGCCGATACACCTGGTGGGTCCTGACTGGGCACCCCTGAAACCTTCGACAAAGCTCAGGGGTCCCGAGCCTGCTTTTATGGGGCATTCCTGCAAACTCATCACTGCTCAGCTTCACGGGGATGGGGGCGGCGCACACACTCCACGGCATCTTATCAGTGTAGCCACAGGGAGTTTCCTAAACTCAGCATTTTCTTGGCGTGGAACAGGGAAGTTCATCCCGAGTGCAGACAGGGTGGGCATCTCTGAAAACTTGACACCCACAGGCAAGTCATCTCTTTAGAGGACATGCTATAAATCGACTATAAGGCCAAAGATACAGATTATAAACTTCCACCCCAGCATGAGGACTGGAGTTAGATGAGCCAACAGGGAAAATCCTGTTGTTTCCCTGTCTTCCAGCGCAATAAGCTTCATTCTGTCCTAAAACGTAAAACTCACTTATAATGCCATGGGCAGGCCACAGGACCTGTTTCCCCGTGTGTAGAGTGCTATTGTATATGCACGTGTTGCTAAGAGTGACTTCTTAAAATATTTTATTTTTATAAAGTTTTTATAAAAATAAAGTTTATAAAGTTTATAAAGTTTTTCTCAATCACTTAATCACTTAACTTCCCGTTAGTCGTCGATTTGCTCGAGCGGGCGCCAGTAACGTCTCCATTTGTCCCTGTCGCGTGCTAGTGTAGCCCAATGGCATCTGTTCGCTCCGGGAACACGAAGAGCCTCAAACCGATCGTTCATGATCTTGACAAAGAAGTCTGACCATCTGGTAGGTGGGCGGCCACGCGGTCTCTTGACATCCCGTGGAATCCAATCAGTAAAGGCTCTAGTCCAACGGTCGTCTTTAAATCTCATTACGTGACCAGCCCATCTGATTTTTTCTCAATAATTCATTACATTGAATATTCCAACACTAGTCCTACCACCATTACATTGAATATTCCAACACTAGTCCTACCACCATTACATCTTCCCACCACCATGATTTCGAGTTCTCCCACCACCACCCAACTCTGCCCCCAAAGCAGCTCCTAAGTAAGTTATTTTGTGTGGCTTGTTATGAATAATCCTCTAAAAAATGTTTAAAAAAAAGTTTCCTTAGAGGAGAGTGTGTGAAGATTGTTGTATCTCACCCAGGAGCCATTGAGCACCTGTATAAGAGATTACTAACATGTTGGGCCTTGTATGCTTTTATATATATATATATACACATCAAGATTTGTATATGTAAAGATATGTCTATATAAATATAAAGATAAATATTTACATATAAATATTTTTATGGGTTGGAGCAATAGCACAGCAACATGGCCGACCTGAGTTTGATTCCTCCACCCTTATCAGAGAGCTCAGTAAGCTCCAGAAAGTATCTTGCCCGCATGGCAAAGCCTGACAAGCTACCTGTGACGTATTCGATATGCCAAACACAGGAACAAATCTCACATTGTTACTGGGCCCGCTTGAGCAAATTGATGAACAACAGGAAGACAGTAACAGTGACAGTGAAAAAATATTTTTATACATAATAATAAATAAGGGCTGGAGCGATAGCACAGCAGGTAGGGCGTTCGCCTTACAAGCGGCCAACATGGCCGACCCGAGTTCGATTCCTCCACCCCTCTTGGAGAGCCCGGCAAGCTACCGAGAGTATTGGATATGCCAGACACAGTAACAACAAAGTCTCCAATGGAGACGTTACTGGGCCCGCTCGAGCAAATGGACGATCAACGGGAGGGCCTTTACTTTACTTTACTTACTAATAATAAATAAAGCCTTCTACTTTACACCCCATCAAACGTGGTGTGCTACTCTTGGTGATCAGTGGTGTAGAGTATAAGATGTCACTGCCGCATGCTCCAGGAATTCTAAAATTTTAAATAGGTTGATACAATTGCAGTTGATTTTTTAACTGGATGGCGACTCTGGGGTCTGGAGGCGACTCTGCAGCTTGTTGCTCTCTTCTGAGATTTATTTGTGAGTCTCTGGATTGTGGCCGTTCGTGAGCTTATATGGCACCAGAGGCAGTTGGTGCGCGTGACTGCCAGGCGCCTGGAAGAATAGGAAGATGGGGGGAGGTCGCCTATTCCCGACTCCGTAAGAACCTGGGGATTTTGGTCTCAAAACCTGTACACCTGGATTTTTCAGCAGATTCATTCAAGAATGACTTATCTTTTCCATTGAGAATGGTCTTGGAACTGTTGGTTTCCTCATGATGATAAAACTCTCTCGGGGCTGGGGAGAGCTCGGGGCTGGAACACAGGCCTGGCTTGCAGGAGGCCCATGCCCAGCCCTGGTGCAGTTCCCAAACACCACTGGGTGTGGCCCCAAACAAAGCAAACTCCAAAGAAAGCAAATGAAGCTCCTTCTCTGAGCCTTCAAGGCCAGCTAATCGTAGGTCCTGAAGCCAGGCTGTTCTCTGGGCTGGCGGCCTGCTTGTGGGGGCTTTGCTTGGGCTCATCTTCTGCTGTTCCTCTCTTAAGAATTTTTTTAATCGTTGTTAGTACGACACCATGAGGTACAGTTGTAGATTTACAAATTTTTGTGCTTGGGTTTCAATTATACAATGATCAAATACCCATCCCTCCACCAGTGCCCATTTCCCACCACCATGGATTCCAGTATCCCTCCCACCCCCCATCCCTCCCATCCCACCCTGCCTCTGTGGCAGGGCATTCCCTTCTGTTCTCTCTCTCCTTTTGGGTGCTGTGGTTTGCAAGAGAGGCAATGGGTGGCAAACATGTTCAGTCTATAGTCTACTTTCAGCATGCTTCTCCCATCCTGGGAGGATCCTCCCAACACCCTTTATTCCTCTCTTAAGAATTCTTTTCAAGATTTTTAACTAACATCTCCAAATCCAGTTTGTGCTGGCTGGGCCCCACAAATCCCTGGGCAGAGCGGTTTCAAATATTAAATGTGTGTGTAGGTGGGTGGGTGAGGGGATGCAGAGATTAAACCTGGGGCCTCACATGCGCGAGCCATCTAATGAAAATTTCTTTTTCATAAAAACTGCACAGAGCACAGCCGACGGAACGCACCCACCCACCACGACAGCGAGCAGCAGGGACACACAAGGCCCTTGGACCCCAAGTCTCTGCCCTCCCTCCCTCCCTGCGGGCATCTGCCTCCGTGTGGGAAGGCGCTGTGCGGACGCCACCTGCAGGCCAGGATGACGCACTGCGGCATCCTGATGTCCTGCCACTGGCTGACAACTCCACAGCTTCCACCAGACCCTTGGGGCCTGGGGAAGTTCCCGCCTTACCCCAGGAGCCTTTGCTGCAGAGCTGTCTCCGAGGCCCTCTCCTGTCCTCTCCGGCACCACTGTCTGCTCTCGGGGAGTGAAGACTCCAGCCCACCCAACTGGAATGTTCCAGGGCCACAGGAGCTGTCCCTGGTCATTCCTGGCAGTGCTCGGGGGACCCTGCATGCTGGGAGCAAACCCAGACCCCGTGCATGCCCAGTCTGATCTCTTCCCCTCCTCTACCCCCCCCCCCCCGTCTCTTTATCTCTCTCTCCCCCCCTCCCTCCCTCCCTCTCTCTCTCCCTCCCTCCCCCCTCTCTTTCTCTCCCTCCCTCTCTCCCTCTCTCTCTCTATCTCTGTCTCCCTCCCTCTCTTTCTCTCCCTCTCTCTTCCTCCCTCTCTCTCTCTCTCTCTCCACCCCCTTCTCTCTGGCCCTCAAGCTGAAACCTTTGGCTCAGCCCCAACCCCAAGAGAGCTTCACTGTACCTGTGTTCCTGCATCGGGGGTCACTCGGCTCCAAATTGACCGGTACCAGAACCCCCGGGTACATTCAGTGTGGGCGTCGCTGCCAAGCCGCCTGGTGCCAATCTCCAGTGCCTGTTCGCAGGCACCTCTGGGTGGCAGAGGGCCAGGAAGCACGTCTGAGTCCCCAGCCTGCAGGGATGGTGGGGCCGAGCGTGTCTCCCCTCTTCTCTGCTCTTGGTATCTAAGAAGCAGGTTCCGGGGAGAGGGTGGGGGTGGTGCGTGGCGGGATGTTGGCCTTGGGTGTGAGCCCCAGACCCGACTCCAAGCCCCCGGGGCAGCTGAAAGTGCGTCTGTGGGCCCAGCCAAGAGCCGGGAGCTTGCATCTAGTAGTAAGCAGCACCCGGCAAGTCTCATGGGGAAGACGGGACAGGGCAACCCCAGGGACAAGGTCTGCAGCGAGCACCGAGGCCAAGTGTGAGAACGCAGCCGGACGTGTGACCCCCCGGGTGTGCGACCCCCTGACGTCCCAGCCACCGCTGGAGCAAAGGGAAGGGGGACGTTGGTCAGTCCAGGGTGGAGACGCTTGCCTGGCAGCTGGCCCAGGCCACATCCCCACACTGCAGAGGGCCCCAAGCACTTCGGAGCGTGACCCAAGCCCCAGCCCCAGACACGCTGTCCTGTGGCCGCCTCCCCCCGCCCGTCACCAACGGGGAATCTGCCCCACATGCTGCTTCCACCGCCCCCCGCCTTCACCCAGCACTTGGGGGCCCCTGTCAGCCCAACACACTCGCTCCTGTGTCCATGGGCATGTCCAGAGCCCGCAGGGTGTGCTGTGTCTGCCGGTCCACCTGCCTGCCTGTCTTCCTGTCTGTCTGCCTGCCTGCCTACCTGTCTGCCTGCCTGTCTGTGTGTCTGCCTGTCTGTCTGTCTGCAAGTCTATCTGTCTTCCTGTTTGTCAGTCCGTCTGCCTGTCTCTCTGCCTGTCTACCTTTCTGCCTGTCTGTCCGCCTACCTGTCTGTCTGTCTGCCTGTCTGCAAGTCTGCCTGTCTGCCTGCCTGCCTCCCTCTCTGGACGACTGTCTCCACCTCATCCATGGCTTTGCTCTCAGCCCCTCCCGTCCCTTTCCACACCCTGGGCCAGGGCTGTCTCCTGCCCCCACACCCGCCCGCTCTCGCCCCATGTTAACAGACAACACTGGCTCCCGTTCCTGGGCCAGCCTCAGGGTTGGCCCCACCCTGTAGCCCGAAGCTCGATCCCCACCTCACTGACCCTGACCGTGAGGCTGCTTCCCGGCACCCCTGCTTCTGGTTTTGAAATATACATTTTATTTCTATATGGGGTGCGTGTGGGGGGCAGGGGTGGCCACACCCAGCAGTGCCCGGGGGCAGCCCTGGGGTCCATGTGTGCTGGGGGTTGAAGTGGGGTTGGCCACATTCGAGGCAGGGGCTTCACCCCGTGTTTTCTCCTGGGCTTAAATATATGCACACACCCACTTCCTGTCTCCCGCAGAGGGGGCCTGCACACACACACACACACACACACACACACACACACACACCACGCAACACAGACATGCACACGCACACATGCACACATAAATATACACAGACACACACATGCAAGACACACACACACACACACACACACACACACACACACTCCCTGCCCCATGAACGGGACTTGGTTCTCAAGACTTCACAGGACAGGACAAATGCTGGTGCCCAGATACTTGGAGACGGTGGCCGGCAGAGCCGAGGGCCACTCAGACCGCAGCTTCCCGGGGGTCTGTCCCTTCTCTGCGTTCCGGCCCACCCCTCCACTCAGCGCAGCATCTGTAGGTGCACCCACTGTCCTTCCTGCCCAGGTTCTGGGGGAGGGGGGGTCAGCAGCGGGTCACCGAGGTGGCCTTGGGGCAGAGCTCATGTTCTGCTCACACCAAGCGCGCCCTCCTGGTCCCCTGCAGAGGGCGTCAGGGCCGGGCTGGGGGCAGAAGGCAGCCAGGCAGTGCCAGCTGTGCCCAGAAGCCATCACGGAGAGCAGCGATGCCCAGGTGACCCACAGACTCGCCTACCCAGCCCGGGGCTTGCACAGCCGTTCTACGATCCCTTTAACAACCCCCAGTCCGCACAGACTAGTTCAAACAAAGACGCGTTTTCTTCTTTTATTTGGCAGATCCAGCCCTGGGAGCGACTTCAAAGGCCCCTGGTGAAGGCAGAGTCTGGGGGAGATGAAGTCCGTTAGCTCAGTGTCCCTGGCGTGGAGGCAGCTTGGGATTCGGGCTTGGTCTCGTGCCGCACAGCTGGGCTCCGATCTCGCCCGGCCAGCGGCCAGCGTCACTTCTGTCTCCCCCAGAGCTGGGGAGCGGGAACCGAGCCCACTTGGTTCAGAGGCGGATGTAGGCCTTGCCCACGCCCCGCAGCTCCCCGCGGCCCTGCAGACAGCGGCCCAGCAGCTCCCGGATGGAGACGCAGGCCTCGGTCTCCAGGACAAACCGCGCCACGGCCTCCCCTCGGGGCGACCCGCCCCGCACGCTGTCCAGGGCCACCCCCCGCACGTCCTTGGGCTTCCCCGGCGCCCCGAAGACGAGGAACAGACCCAGGCAATCCTCGCCGATCAAGCGACAGAACTTCTCCAGCCGGTCGAAGCGGGTCCTCCCCACGGCCTCCTCCTCCTCGTGATCACCCTCGTGGTGGCGGGGCCCAGGGTCCGGCTCGGGGGACGCGGGGGCCAGCGAGGACAGCTGCAGGGTCTGCACGGCCAGCTGCAGCCGGATCTGCTTGTCGGCGCCCCAGAAGGTCCAGATCCAGTCGGCCCCGAAGAGGGAGGCCTGGTGCGCGGTCATCTTGGTGGTGGTCAGCCACGCGTCCACGCCCTGCTTCTGGCAGAAGCTGATGAAGTGGATGAGGAAGATCTCATTGAGGGTGCTCGGGGCCGGGCTCAGGTTGCTCAGGGGGTCCTCGAAGCCCAGGTACTCCTGCAGCTTGCGTGCCGCGTGCACCATGCCCCGGCTGACCGCCTCGGACACGCGTGCACACTCGTGGCGGTCCTGCGGGGTCGGCGGCGGTGGCGGCGGGCAGCTGGTTCCCATGTCTCCCTGCCCGGCAGGAGCTGCTCGCGCCGGGGGGCTCTGCCCTTGCGGTCCCGAGGGGCCCTGGCCCATCTCTCCCGGCCTGGCGGCACAGCCCGGGGTGCTGCTCAGAAGAGCCGCCTGTGCAGAGTGGCGGCTTCACCTGCCAAGTGGCATCTGCCCGCTGCCCGGCCCTGCCCGGCCTCCCTGCTGTCACTGAGCATATAGACCCTGCCCAGCACTGTCCTGTTTGCCAACTGGGTGGAGCCTCCCCAGGCCCCGCTCCTCTGCACCTCTGCTCCACCCTGGGCCCGGGTCTCCCACAAACGCCCTGTTTCCAATGTCTGCCAGACAGTGTCAGGTCCCTAGAAATGGCCCCTCCTGGGATCCTCTCCCGGGCTGACCGCCTGTGTGCCAGAGGTCTCTATCTGCAGCTGCATAGACCATGAAGCAGGTCTGAGCAAGGCCCACAGACCAGGCTGCTCGGGGCGCAGGTGGGGGAGGGAGGAAGCCCCCGGCTCTGGCCTTAGCTCCACCTGCCTGTGGACTGCTGTGGGGGCAGGTGCCAGGGGGCCGGTGCCGAGAGGTGGATGGACACGGCCCCAAAGCCGACACTGACAGGGACGGTGTGAGGACTAGAGGGTTTGAAGGATGCCTTCTGTACCGGGTAAGGCCACTGAGAACCAGGAAACTAGAGCACTGGACAAAAATCCAGGAGGTAATTATCAATGGGCTTTATTTCCTTTCATGTGGTAATACCAGCAGTGTATAGTATCCCGTAAATAAAATATACCGTCAGGAAAGTTCCATTACATATTGTCACTCACACGACATTGTCCTCAACAGAGTATTTTGGCATCTATAACAGTGTCCTGGCATTTGTTTTTTTAAAACCAGGTTCAGATAACATTTTTTTTTTGAACGGTGAAGAATCATCACATTAAAACAAAACACAAAAGCACGAGCCGTCCAGGATAGTTACCAGATGAGGAATGTAGGGAACGAGAGGCAGTGGCGAGCTTCAGATCATTTCGTCAAGAATAAATAGTGATTTGCTGTGAGGGTTCTGCAAAGAACAGCTTGACAGCTTGGCTGCTGCTTGGAAAAATGTTGTCACCGCTGGGCATCAAACCGGTGCCGGTGACCCTGCGGGCTGGCACAGACATGAAAGACTGCCCGCTCTGACACCACCGCCCGGCACAGTTGGCTGTCACGCGTGATGACACAAAGCTGAATAAGGAACCGAACTTTTCTCCTAATACCCCTAAAATAATCAACATTTTTTTTGTTATTGCTATTTCCTTTATAAAGAATATTTGGGGTCTTTGCTACCCAAAAAAAAGGGGGAAAAAAAAGAAACAAAACCCAAGCCCACGCAAAGCTTCACTGCACCATTACTGAAATAAGTAAAATAAAGGCCCTCCCGTTGATCATCGATTTGCTCGAGCGGGCCCAGTAACGTCTCCATTGGAGATTTTGTTGTTACTGTGTTTGGCGTATCGAATACCTCACGGGGAGCAAATGGTGGCTGTAAACTGACTTTGCAGCCTCCGAGTTCTTGAACTCTGACGGAAACAAACTATTGCTGTGTTGTTGAAAATCCCCTTCTGGGTAGCCTGAGAGATGTGCGGTAAGACCATGAATTCATGGGGCAGATGTTTTCTGATGTAACGCCGCAGCTTCGCAGGGAGGGAAATTAAAAAAAAAAAATACTTAATACTGTAAAGGTATCTGCTGTGTTTTGGTTTCTGCAAAAATCGTTTCTACAAATTTGGGGGGGGGAGGGCCGCGAAATGCGTCCAAGTGCATAGTCTTTAAAATGTCCCTGGAGTTCTTCCCTCTGAGGTAAAAGCATCCACGTTTAAGGCTGAAGTTCATGATCAGAACCAGGCGGCCCCCAGGGGTGCCGCGCGCGGGGAGGGCTGGGGGTGTCCCACCTCCCTGTTTCCTAAATGGGGTCTAACTTGATTTTGCTGTTTTTAAAAACCTTCTTCCTTAGGCCACAAAATAAAAGTTGCATTTTTTTCTATGTACTAAATATATACACATATTTAGAAAAATATATAAAAATAAGACAGTAAGAGGCCGCGGGCGGGGGTGCAGCCAGCCCCGAGCCCAGCACACGGCCGGATCTTTGCAAACTGCGGGGCCAGGGGCGGGGAGGTAGCCCCGTGTGCGCATGCGCGAGCCGCAGCTGCTCCCAGAACTCCCCGCGCGGTGCACGTGAGCGGAAGTGTGGCGCCCGGCCCCGCCACACTTTGCAGCTGGAAGGTCGCGGGTTTCTGCAGTCCGTGGGGGCATTGGGGTGGCCGCGCTCTCACCACCCGCGACTCCTCTCGCGAGCTGGTGTCGGGACAGGTTCCCCCCGTGACACTTCGGGGGCGGCTGCAGCGAGAAAGCGGGGGGCGCCCAAGCGCTCTCCGCGCTCCTCGGGCCGGGCCGGGCGCGACGAGGGTCACACGTTGGAGTCCTCGTCCGTCATGCTGGCGCTGGGCGACTGGGCCGCGAAGTCCTTAAACATGTCGTCTTCCTTGAGCATGTGCTGCAGAAGCCAGGGGCGGCGACACGGGCGCCCGTGAGGCCCACGCACACTCCCCACCCCCCAGCGCCGCACCGGACCCCCACGCACCCCGATACGCCCCCAAGCAAGGACCGAGAGGGTTCACGTCGCACGCTCACCGTCAAATTGTTGATGCCTTCGGAGAACGCCCCGATCTGCCTCACGGTCCCTTCGGAGTCTTCCATCTGCCAAGTACACGCCACATTGTGAGAAACACCGGCTCTGTGCATCCCTCCGGCCACCGGGTGTGAAACCCTCGCAACCCAGCGGGGCATCCTGGTGTGCCCACTGCCACACACCGATGTGGCCGGGGCTGCTGAGCCCAAGGTGGAACTGGCCCCTGCGCTGGCAGGCTTCCCTCCTACAGTGCTCTGTGCTATTACAAGCCATCCGCTCTAGGCTTGTTTCTATCTGGGACGTGCTCCTCTCGGCCACCTCCTTCTTTCCCAAACGCGGAGAGAACCCTCAGGGTCTGGGAGTCACCCTGAAACCTCCATAGACTCCGAGAGCTCAGGGTGGACACAGCCCGCCACCAGGGAGTGCCCCGCCTGTCCTCCTGATCCTGATTTGAGGCAGGGAAGAGCAGTGCTGAGACCAACAGGTGGTCACTGAGTTCCCAATCGGACTGGGAAGAAACGGCGTCCAGCTCACCTGCTCGAACCTGTCCAGGTCATCCTCATCATACAGGCGCATGTCCAACCCGGCTTTGAAGCCCTTCTTGGCTGAGCTTCCCGACGCCTGGCCCAGTTCCATCGGACACACATACTCTTCCCCGTCTTCCTGCTTCTTCTTTCTTAGATTCCCGAAGTTGCTGAAGGTAAGTTTCTTTGGCTGTAGGAGAAGGGCAGACAAAACCACGCGGGGCGCTGAGGACCTTCCCAGGACCAAGGCTGTTAGTGACCTCGGCTCGTTCACTCCAGCACACCCAGAAACAGATGATATGGTCTGGGGGATGAAGCCAAAGGCTTCTCAGCACCGAGGAGACCCCAGGGCCGGTATCGCGCTGCAAGGGACATGTCAGTTGGGTGTGGGGGAGACCACATCTGCCTGAAAAGCCAGTACAGTCTCTCTCCACACTCAGCTGGCAGAGGGGGCAGCTTCGGTGTGTAACAGGGATGGAGAAAAGGCGTTTCCGGCTAAACTAAGAACGAGCCCTTCTCGTCTGGGATGGGAGATGCATTCTGAAAGTAGATTTTAGACTGAACATCACAGATCACAGATCATCCTGTTATTCGTCGATTGCCTCGAGCAGGCCCCAGTAACGTCTCCTTCATCCTAGCCCTGAGATTATATTAAAGGCTCTTTAGGAGACTGAACATGATGGCCACTTAATACCTGTATTGCAAACCATAACACCCAGAAGGAGAGAGGCAGTAAAACGGAATGTGCCTGCCACAGAGGTGGGGGGTGGGGAGGACATATTGGGGACATTGGTGATGGAGAATGGGCACTGGTGGAGGGATGGGTATTTGATCATTGTATGACTGAAATGTAATCACGAAAAGTAAGTATCTGTAAATGTATCTCACAGTGTTTCATTAAAAAAATTAAAAAAAAAAAAGGACTAGACCTCCACGGTCTCCTTCAACAGTTTCTTTGGTTTGTTTTGCAGTGCTGGGGGCTGGAACCAAGGCTATCCCCCAGCCATCTCTGACAAGCCTAGTGTGTCCAAGCTTCAGCACACCCCCAGAACAACCAGGACAACTGTGACCCACACTCGGGCACGAGGCAGGGCCTCTGGGCACTGGCCACAGGTGGTGACAGCAGCCCACGTCCGCTCCTTATATCCGTCATCTCCGGTTAAACCAGTGACTCGGCCCAGAGCTAAGTCTTCACAGATACCAGCAGCCCATCTGCAGAACTTGGCAGCCCCCGGGAGATGGGGCGCGGCCGGGTGGGGTCCATCCCGGGGGGGGGGACGACCCACCTTCACTTTGGCGGTGGCGGTTAGCAGCACATACTCGGGCGACTCCATGGCATCGCGCTTCTGGTGCTGGGCCTCGGCGCCGATCAGAAGGTTGAAGTGCGTGGCCAGGTGTCTCCGCAGCAGGGTCTTACTCGGCGGGATGTTCAGTAACTGCGCCATCGTCTCTACGTTAAACCGGGGCTCCAGGACCTGCACGGGGCCAAGGGCACCTTCAGTACGCGGGCGCTGGCGGCTCTGTTGAGCTTTCCTCTTGAGGGCTCTCCGGGCACCCCGCGGGCCATCTGGGGACACCCGTGAGCCGAACCAACAAAGTGGGCACAGCCTGGCCTGCTGTCCAGGCGCAACCTGGCCAGTGCTGCCCTGGCCTCGCGGGGTAGCGGGCAGATAAACTGCACTTGGCAAGGGGTTGGTGCTTTTCTCCTTCCTCCCTGCCCACACGTCACACTGCTATTAGTTCTGGAGTTGATTATAAAGGCCAGGAAAAATAGCCGTTACGCGATCCCATGCGGGATGGTGACCCGAAGCCGAGGGCTGGCAGAGAATAAGCAGCAGGCGTGGCAGGTCCTAGGGGCCGAGCACACCTAGGAATGGGGTGGGGTGGGGCCCCCTCCCCCCAGACAGAAGGCAGAGGAGTTACCATGAGCCCTCCGTGCACGCCGCTGCCCCGGAGGTTGGGCGCGTACTCGGCCAGGTCCACGGAGCGGAGCCACTCCATCACGCGGTGGTTGGTCCACTGCTGCACCTCCTGGGGCGTGATGCTGTTCTGGGGGCGCCAAGAGCCAGTCGGAGCGTCAGCGTGGACGCGGGGCAGCCCAGGGCAGGAGCCCCCCGACCCCAGCCCAGCCGGCCACGTCCCGCCCACTGCAGTCACCTCGTCGGAGGGTCGCCTCCGCAGGCAGTTGGGCTCAAAGCCGTTGATGCGCAGCACCTGGATGGCCCGTTTGATGCTGAGATGGTGCAGCACGCTGACCACCTTCAGGGACAGCAGGTCGTCCTGCGGGGGACGGGGCGCTCAGAGGGGGTCTGCGGGGGGGGGGGGGGTCGTGCCCCAGGAGCCCGCGGGAAGCGGAGCCACAAGACCCTGCGTTCCTGACCCCCAGACGGGCCTCTTCAGGACCACTGCTTGGGCAGCGGAGTTCCACCTGCTTCTCCCTCTCCTGGGACCCGGCAGGGGACAGGGAACCCCAGGGCTGAGAAGCGGGGCAGGCCATGACAAGAGGGCCAGCGGCCCTGACCCGCGCCCAGGCCAAGTCACACAGGACGACGCCAGGCAGGGCTTCTGAGCCGAGGCTCACGACACGGGGAGAGCTAGGAGCACACCCGAGGCCGGCAGTCTCTGCCCTCGTGCCAGTGTGGAGGATGGCATCGGCCAGGGCTGAGGGCAAGGAGAGAGGCACAGCCTACGCCGGCAGAGCAGAGGGCACCGCCACTCTGCAGTCGGGCTTTCACCCTGCGCCCGGGGGCACCACTGCCATTGTGTGAGACACACCAAAACAAACGACTTTATGAGGTGACCGGGCAGGGTCATGATAAGCCCCAGCTCACTCCCAGGCACACCCAGAAAATAAACCCACTTTAGGTGCACCTTACCCATTGGCACATATCTAGGGGTTGGCAAAATAAAAATACAAAATAAAAAGGAGTGAGAAAAATCTGACTAAAACCGTTCTCACTTGTTTTGGTGTATGCAGGGTCGGGGATGGAGTCTGGGATCGCTCGGGCAAGGCAAGGGCGCCGGCCGCTGAGCCCTCACTGGCCGCGGCTCACGGGAGACGCGTCCCCGAGGGTGGCGTTCCCTGTCCCCCCCCGCACACAGCTGGCCCTGCTGGTCAGTGTTGGCATCACGGCTGAGAGAGCCACACCACCGTGGGACGCCGCGTCAGGCTGCATCTGGATCCAGCCTTGGCTCCCGCGTGAAAACAGTCGTTCTGGGCCTTGGGGCCTTGGGGCCAGGCTGTCCGGGTGAAGGTCTTTTACGGCCCTGCGCGCTTTCCATCTGCTCCAAGCCGGTGTTGGCTCCCGTCCCGAGCGGGCAAATATTAACTGAGCTCCCGGCGGCTCTGGGAGCAGTCAAGGGCCAGAGCTCTGGAGGTGGCTGGGCTGTCTCTTCCTGCCACCCCCGCCCCCCGCCGCCAGGTCGAGTGACACATCTCTCAGCTGAGAGCTGGGGGTGGCATGGAGGAGGGGGGTGATCACAGTGCTGACACGCTTCCTGACAGGAGCGGGCACAGGAAGTGTGTGACACGTCCCCGCAAGCAGGGCAGGCCAGACTGTGTCACGCTGGAGACAGACCCATGGGTTGCCCGCCCCACTGCTGGCTGACGGCAGGGAGACGCAGGGCCGGATTCGGCAGAGGCCACTGAGGGCAGTGTCCCACGCAGACACTGACAGAGCCTGCGACAGTGCAGGACGGAGCCCCTCGGCCGGGGGCAGGGAAAGGACAAGGACCTTGTGCCCTTCCCATGCCTGCCGTGCCCTGGCCAGGGCAGGCTGGACAAGCCGGGAGCGCTGGGGCTCTGGGCAGGGGCAGGACACGCCCTGTCGGTGCTGGCCGGACACCAGGAATCCCCTGTCTAAGTGGCAAAGCCTCCGGGTCTGATGACGCTCCCAGAGCAAGGACCCACCCGGCCAACGTGTACACTCCCTGCAAGCCGCTTCTGGAAGCGGATCCTTTAAACCCGGTTTCACGTGGCAGCTGTGGGGTGGGGAGTGTGGTCGGTGGGGTTTTCCACAGGTGGCTGCAGCCCCCGAATTCCTCCAAACAGCGGAGCGGGAAAGAGCAGGAAAGTTCCGTCCCTGAGACCCCCCCCCCCCGCCCCCGGCCCACCTTCCAGCGCCGGGGAGCCGGGCGGGAACGTGGGGGTCTCCTCACTCAGAGAGGGGCGGTCTGCTGTCTCTGCAGCCCGCGGCCACTTACCACCGTCATGTAATGCAGCATCCGCCCGTCCACCCGGCCCTCGTCGAACTGCGTCTTATACTGGGGGAGACCGATGTCATCCAGCCACCCTGACGGGGACGAACCCGGGATGAGCGGGAGCAACCGAGGGGCCATGCGCCCTCCCCCACCCCGCCCCGCTCACTCATCGGTCACGCCTGCATCCCCACATCGCTCACTCGGTCATTCACACCCCCACCCCACCCCGAGCTCCTACTCGTCACCCAGTTGAAGTCCAGCTTCCCGTGGTTGGTCTCCTCCTCCGAGCCCAGGGCCTGCAGCGCCAGCTGCAGTTTCTTCCGGTGAAGCGAATGTTTGATCCCCAGCTCCTGCAACGAGGGCGACGGCGGCGTCCTGGCTCTGACCAGTCGGCTCGGGGCCCACTCCCTCGCAGGCACCCAGGGCTCTCTGCGGGCTTGGCGGGTGCCCCGACTCGCCAAGGCCCCAGCGGGCACACGCAGGGAGCCAGGCACGCTGGGGTGGCTCGGGGGCTCTGTGCTGGCTCGGAATGAAACAAACGTCCAGCTACTGGACATACAGACGCGGGGAAGGACTCTCTCCCTCACAGAGCGCATGCAGCACTGCAGTGGGTCGGGGAAAACCGCCCCGTGATGCTGAGGGCGTCTCCTCGGGCCCCACGGCTGCTCAGTACGACGCCACGTGGCTCACGGGCGCTGCTGGGGGTCACCACAACCGACCCGTCCTTTGACGCATGGCCGGTCCGACACTCGCCCACCAACACGGGTTCTCCCTAGCCGCCTTCCCGGGGCCGCCCCAGCCCCCACCCAGGAAACGCCGCCCCCCCCCCCCCCTCACCTTCTCCAGGTCCTGCGGGGACGCCTGCAGCAGCGTCTGGCCCGAGACGATCCAGTGCCTGCCGGCGCTCAGGTAGCAGCCCAGACCCTGCGCGCCCAGCCAGCTGCACACCTGCTCCTTGGTCCACTTGGCGAACGGCATGTCCAGGTCGCTGGGGAGGGAGAGATGTGCCGTGGCGTTCTGGCCAGTCACTGTGGCGCCCCGGCGAGGGGCAGGGAAGGGGGCAGACCCCAAGCAGGAGACCTGCCTGGGTGGCCGGGAGGCCCTGTCCAGTGGGGGCTAAGTCTGGTCGAATTCTAGCTTCTCTCCAGAGCGCCCCCCCACCCCCCGCAGTGGGTGAGATCAAAGCAAATCTCTTCAAGCTACACCTGGCAGTGCTTTGGGGTTACTCCTGGGCCTGTGCTCAGGGCGCACTCCTGGCAGTGCTCGGGGGGACCCTAGGTGGTCCCAGAATCAAGAGGGGGTGAGCGGTGTGTGAGGCGAGCCTGTTAACTCCTTTTCTATTTCTCTGAGCTTCCCCTTTCTTTTACTTTGACATGCAGTGTTCCAGTCTGGGAGAAAATGGAGATGGAGGAGCTTTACTGTGTGGGGGTCAAGGACCCGAGGGTCTCTTCTGTGGACGAGAAGGTGCAGCCGCCAGGGTGGAGGCTGGAGGCGGCCCAGGAGTGTCTCAAAGTGCCTCTACCGCGTCCATTAGTGCTCACGCCGGGGGCACGGTCACTGCTTGCTGGACACCGGAACACGAGCCTCTCAGCCACACTCAAGACGGGGAAGTGGGGCTCCGATCACCCAGCCAGGAGCAAGCGGGCACCGAGGCCGGCTCCACACAGCCCAATGCAAGGAGCTACTCTGATTTTTCAGCGATGAGGGGGCTAGTTTGGGGCCTGACCTGGCGGTGCTCAGGGGCCCTGTGTGGTGCTGGCACTGGGCACGGGTTGGCGGTCCTCAACCCTGTACTCTCTCTCGGCACCGCAAGAAGCTATTTTTTTTGTTTTGTTTTTGGGCCCCACCCAGGGGTGCTCAGGGCTCAGCCCTGGCTCTATGCTCAGGAATCACTCCTGGTGGGCTCGGGGGACCACATAGGGTGCTGGGGACGGAACCACGTTAGCTGCATGCAGGCGAGCGCCTTACCCGCTGTCCCAAGGCGGTGCTGGGGATGGAACCCGGACCCCTGCCCAGCCCTTTGGGCCGACCTCCTGCCCGCCTCCCCCATAACCACACCGGCACCCCCTCCCGGGGTCAGGCTGCCGGCCACTGGGGCTGACTGTGGGAGACAGTCGGGACCTTGCACTCTTCTGGGGCTGCTCTCAGCCGGCCCCGAGAGCGCTGACTTGGGGGACCCGGGGGGCTCAGACAGGGGGGCCGCCTCACCTGTTGGACTGCCCCAGATCCCGAGACCAGCCCAGCCGGGGCCCCGCGGTGGCCCTCGTGCCCCCTCTCTTGAATTCCGGCTCGGACATGTCCTCTGGGTTGAAGGTGGTGGACTGGCTCCGCCTGAGCCTGCAGGAGACACAGCAATGGTCAGGCCCGAGCAGTCTCGGGCCAGCTAATCACCCGTCGGTGTGGACAGACATCTGAGTGCCAGGGAGGGACATTCACAGCCGGGTCAGGGCCGAGTGGCCTCGGGCCCAGCTCATCTCCACCTGTCGGCGTGGACAGACGCCTGAGTGCCAGGAGGGACGTTCACAGTGTTTTGCTTTCTGTCTGTCTGTCTGTCTGTCTGTCTGGGGGCCATACCTGGCCATGCGCAGGGGCTGCTTCTGGCTCTGGGCTTGGCGGGGATCGAACCCAGGCCGCCAGCCAAGCCCGCACTCAGCCCCTGAGCTGTGTCCCCAGCCCAGACATTCAAACTTAGACTTTGCCAGTGACCCCCGAAACCCACCTCCCTTCCTTCAGAGGCACCTTCCCCCCCCCAGCACCCTGCCCCCTGGACGGGGGCCACCCGGACGCCCCAAGGCTCACCTGCCGAAGAGCTTCATGAGGCCTCGGGATTTCTTCCTGGCGTCCGGAGACGTGGGCGTCATCTGGAAGGGGCTGCCCACCTGGGGCCCTCTGGGCCGAGAAGACCTCCCGGCCAGGTCCAGGCGCTCAGTCGTCTCCTGTTCCGTGTCGGCTGCCCACACAGGACACAAGCGCCGTGAGATCACAGGCAGGCCACAGACGCGACCAGAAGCAGATGCCAACCCCTGCTGGTCTCAGCGACACTCCGAGTCCCTCTGCTGTCTATTCTATAAATCACTGATTTACAAATACCAGCCTAAAAAAATAACGGAAGCGGAGCCCACGGGTCCCCACTATCTGTCAGAGCGGCAGAGCGGGGGCGTTGGAGGGCCCCCCCAGCTCCCAGCACCTGGTTCCTACGCAAAGAGCGTCTGACTCTGCCGTGGATGCCTCCTGCCTCCTCCCTCGGATCAGCTTCCCTCGGATAAACGCCCCTTTCTGGCTGGCCCCCTCAGGTTCCCATGCTCACTTCAGCCATCCCTAGATCCTCTTTGAGCCGACGCCCCTCCACGGCCTAGCAGCCTGGCCCCGGACCCCAGCGTGCTTGGCTCAAGAAGCCAACTCTCGCGAGGCCCACGTTTTCACTGAGTCTGACCCCAGTTCATCTTCCTTTTCTTGTCTTGGGTCACACCCAGTGGTACCCAGGGGTTCCTCCTAGCTCTGTGCTCAGGGCTCACTCCTGGTGGGGCTCAGGGGGCCCTAGGAGATGCCGGGGATTGAACCCGGGGCCTCTGTGTGCAGGACAAGCACCTGCCCCTCAGAGTATGATTCTGGCCCTGTGACTGAATGTTCTCCCGTCATTTCCTTTCCGTCTCCCCCCTGTGGCACTATCCTAGCAGGGCTGCACCACAGCGGGCCTTTAGTCCAGAAACTGACTCTCGTGCGGCCGGAGTGGAGAAAGAGCAGGTCTGCGTGGAGCTTCTCCCCACGAGCCCCCTGCCCGCCCGCTGGGGCTGCCTCACAGGAGACTACCTGCCTGGCCAGTGCCAACCCCCAAGTGGCAACCCTCTCTCCCGAACGGACGGACAGTGTGGCACGGGCAACGCTAGGGCTGGTGCTCCCCCGGGGCCACGCTGAGGTCACTTTCCCGAGGGCGCGTAAGCGGCAACAGGAAGTGTCTCGGCAGGAGGACAAAGCGGCAGAAGTCGCTTTCGCTACGAAGCAGAGCGGTGGCGGTTCGTTATGCCAAGCAGCGTTCGCCTCCCGGCACCGACGTGGCGTCCAAGGAGGATGCAGACGCTGGGGGGCGCTGTCTGGCCCCGCCGGCGAGGGGGACCCGGGGGCCACAGGGAGCAGCCACCTCACTGGTGCTCGTGCCAGGGGCGTGGGGCTCCGCGCAGTGGACGGGGGAGAACCAAGAAGCCCACGGGACCCTCCCCTCGAATCCCACGGTCCCCTGCGAAGCGTGGCCTGTGTCTTCTTCCCCTGAGAAGGTCTGACAGCTGTGCTGGGCGGGAACATAGGGGCCGCATGCAGACGTGCATCTCCCGGCCAGCCCCGCGCCCGCACGGCCTGGCGGTCTGGGAGGGGTTTGTTCGTAAAGTGACGACCCTTTGAGGAGGGAACAGGGTTCCCCCTGACATTGCCTGTTCTCCCTTGGGCATCTCCTGTGTCTCCTCCACTGTCTAAACAACAAAACATCCTAACAGTCGATCTGAACAACAAAATTATAAAACGTCCTGACAGTCTGAATGACAAAATGTCCTAACAGTCGGCCTGAACAATGAAACGCCCTAACAGTCGGTCTCAACTACACAATGTTCTAACAGTTGGCCCTAACCGTTGGTCCTAACAGCCGGTCTGAACAATGAAACGCCTAACAGGCGATCTGAACATCAAAATGTTCTAACAGTCGGCCCTAACAGCCAGCCCTAGTAGTCAATCTGAACAGCAATATATCCTAACAGTCAGTCCGACATGAAATGTCCTACAGTCAGTCTAAACAATGAAACGTCCCAACAGTCAGTGTGAACAACAAAACAACAAAACATCCGAACAGTCTGAATGACAAAACGTTCTAATAGTCGGTCTGAACAACAAAACAACAAAACAACAAAATATCCTAACAGTCGGCCTGAACAACAAAAAGTTCTAACAGTCGGCCCTAACAGTTGGCCCTAACAGTCGGTCTGAACAATAAAACGCCTTAACAGTTGGTGTGAACAACAAAACTTCCTAACAGTTGGTCTGAACAACAAAATGTCCCAACAGTCGGCCCTAGAAGTCAGCCCTAACAGTCAATCACAACAGTGATACATCCTAACAGTCAGTCTGAACAACAAAACGTCCTAACAGGCGATCTGAACAACAAAATGTTCTAAGAGTCGGCCCTAACAGTTGGTCCTGACAGTCGGCCTGAACAGTGAAACATCCTAACAGTCGGTCTGAACAACGAAATGCCTTAACAGTCAGTCTGAACAACAAAACGCCCTAACAGGTGATCTGAACATCAAAATGTTCTAACAGTCGGCCCTAGCAGCCAGCCCTAGTAGTCAATCTGAACCGCAATATATCCTAACAGTCAGTCTGACATGAAATGTCCTACAGTCAGTCTAAACAATGAAACGTCCTAACAGTCAGTGTGAACAACAAAACAACAAAACAACAAAATATCCTAACAGTCGGTCTGAACAACAAAATGTTCTAACAGTCGGCCCTAACAGTTGGCCCTAACAGTCAGTCTGAACAATAAAACGCCTTAACAGTTGGTGTGAACAACAAAACTTCCTAACAGTTGGTCTGAACAACAAAATGTCCCAACAGTCGGCCCTAAAAGTCAGCCCTAACAGTCGATCACAACAGTGATACATCCTAACAGTCAGTCTGACAATGAAATGTCCTAACAGTCAGTCTGAACAACAAAACGTCCTAACAGGCGGTCTGAACAACGAAATGTTCTAACAGTCGGCCCTAACAGTTGGTCCTGACAGTAGGCCTGAACAGTGAAACATCCTAACAGTCGGTCTGAACAACAAAATGTTCTAAGAGTCGGCCCTAACAGTTGGTCCTAACAGTCGGCCTGAACAGTGATACATCCTAATAGTAGGTCTGAACAACGAAATGCCTTAACAGTCAGTCTGAACAACAAAACGCCCTAACAGGCAATCTGAACAACAAAATGCTCTAACAGTCGGCCCTAACGGTCGGTCTGAACAGCGAAATGTCCCAACAGCTGGTCTGAACCAGAAAATGCTCTCCCAGTCGGCCCTAACAGCCGGTTTGCAGCCGCCGAGGCGTCCCGGCGCCCGCCGCTGGCTACCAACGGCGGGGCCCCAGCGAGGACGCGGGGCCGGCGTGGCACGGGCACTGCTGGGCCCTCGTCAGCAGCATCGTTAGGGCAGCAGGCGGGAAGCAGAGGCTCGACAGGGAGCAGCGGGAGGGAGCACTCCGGAGAGAGCACTCCGTCCTCGGGGGCCGTGAGCACTGTCAGGGAGGCCAGAGGCCAAGGGCAGGGCGAGCGGTGGGGACGGCACTGCCCACACTGGCATGCAGGTACGGTACCTAAGGTGGGCGCGCTGGCGCTGCGCTCACGGTCTTCAGACAGCCCCCAGAGCACACAACCGCACAGCCCATGGAGAGAACACAGGGACACGATGAAACACAGCCGACGTCCACTCACGGGAAACACGGGGACGGCGGGCAGGACAGTGGGGACAGACAGTGGGGGACACACGGGGGGAGGGGCAGGCCCAGATGGAGGTGGACAGTGGGGGACAGAGTGGGGGCAGACGAGGGAGAGGCCCCGATGGGGGTGGACAGTCGGGGAGGCAGGCCCACCGTGCTCCCCTGACCCCTGGTGCTGGGCCCCAGAGCGGAGCGTCTCCCGAGCCGGGAGGTGGCCATCGGGAAGTCAGGCGACCACGGCTCCCTCTGAGCAGGGCCGGGTGTGGAGCAGAATCCATGGGTGGTGTTTTGCCCACTTTCCCCTTTCTAATTTGGGGGGAGGGGCCCCACCCGGCGGGGCTTTGGGGATGGTGCACGGTCTCAGATTGAACCCAGCTGGCACACGTGAGGCCAGAGCCCCCCGCTTTTCCATGAGACTAAGAACGGGCCCAGGGAGGGGGCCAGGTGGCCCCGACGTACCCAGATTAGGGGCACTGGCCGTCCTCTTGTTACTCCGGATCTTAAAGAAGCCACGGCCGAAGGACGATCTGGCCTTGCGCGTGCCGAAGGGGCTGTCGTCCAAGGTGGCCGCGTGGCCCGGTGCCCTGGGAGGGAGCTTCCTAGGCGGGCTGCCCTCCTCGGTGGCCTTGGCCTGCGGGGAAGAAGAGCTCCTGGTCAGGGCCACATGGCCGCATTTCACAGCATCCCTGAGCCAACGCGGGGCAGAACAGCTGCTGCAGAGAGGCGCTCGTGAAAGGCCACCCATGGGTGCACCACGGGCTCGCCCACGAGACCACGTGGACTCGAATCCCATCTCCATCCGCCTAAGCCCTGCATCTTGGCCTGGGGTGAGAGTGCAGACGGGCAGCCTGTTCACTCTCCCGTGCGGGGCTGAGCTTAGACGCGGCCGCCCCACACCCCCCTGGCCGGCCCTCGTGCTCCCACACTGCGGGGTGAGGTGACGTTACGCCACGACTTGAAACGAACGTCCTCTGCAGAGTACTCGTGGGTGCTCGTCACAGACGAATCACAGCAGAACTCAGACCCAGTCGGCAGCTGTTTGGAAGAGGCTGTTCGTGGGACTCGAATCTACCAGCCCCAATGCCCTGTGACCCCCTTTCCGACTCACTCAGAGCTCGGGGCACGGTGAGTGGGGGCTCCCATGGGTGACATCACAGCCCCTTCAGAAGCGGCTCCCCAACGCCGAAGCTTCTCCAGAAACTTCGAGGGCCCCGATCTACACTCCCGACTCTCCCATGCCAGCGCCCGGGCCCCTGGGGGCTGCTGTCTGGTCTGGGCTCTGCCCAAGACCCTCGCTCTGCCCTGACATCTCCGCCAAGCAGGGCGGCGAGAAGCGGGCGAGGCGGGCTGGGCGGCGACGAGGTCGCCCCGTGCCCACTTTGGCTGAGCGGTTTGGAAGGCTGGTGGGGCTGTGTCCACGGAGGGGGCCGCCCGTCGGAGAGGCAGACGCCGCCCCCGCGCTGCGCCCGGGAGGAGGAGCCTGACCGCTCCAGGGCGAGGGACGGAGACCAGAGGGGCGGGAGGCTGCGTCTGCTCCCAAGGGCCAGCGGGAGGCCCGAGGTTCGGGGCGGCACTGGCACCACCAGGCGGGGAGCTTCGCAGCCGGCGCTCTGCGAGCCCCAGAGGTGAAGGCCATGGGACACCAAGTGCTTCACTCGGCGGCACGTGGCACCTCGCACCCAGCGCCCCCTTCTTCCCAAGCGTCCTAGTGGTGGCACAGGGCGACGCCAACCTGCCACGCGCATCTCCCTGCCCACCCCGGTTCTGCGGCCCCCGTGCAGGGGTCTCTGAGCAGGGTCCGGGGCATCTGTGAGCCTGGGGCTCAGCCACGTCCAGCAGGCCTGCACTGTGGCGTGACCACGCTGCCACCTGCATGCACTAGCGACCCCCACAGGCTTCCCGAAAGCTGGGTTTCCTGCTCAGGGCCGTGCGTGTGTGTGTGCGTGTGTGCGTCTGTGTGTGTGTATGTTTATGTGAGTGTCTGAGTACGTGTATGTGTGTGTGAGTGCGTCTGTGTGTCTGAGTGTGTGTACGTGTGTATGTCTGTATGAATCTGTGAGTATGTCTATGTGTGTGTGTCTGTGAGTGAGTGTGTCTATGTGTGTCTGTGAGTCTGTGAGTGTTTGAGTGTGTGTGTGTGAGTGTCTCTATGTGAGTCTGTGAGTGTCTGAGTGTGTGTATGCGTGTGTACGTGTCAGTGTGCGTCTGTGTGTATGTTTATATGCGTGTCTGAGCATGTGTATGTGTGTGTGAGTGTGTCTGTGTGAGTGTCTGAGTGTGTGTGTGAGTATATCTGTGTGAATCTGTGAGTATGTATATGTGTGTGAGTGTGTGTGACTCTGTGAATGAGTGTATATATGTGTGTGTGAATGTCTGAGTGTGTATGTGTATGAGTGTGTCTATGTGAGTCTGTGAGTGTCTGAGTGTGTGTGTGTGAGTGTGTCTGTGTGAGTCCGTGAGTATGTATATGTGTGTGAGTGTGTCTGTGTGAGTCCGTGAGTATGTATATGTGTGTGAGTGTGTCTGTGTGAGTCTGAGTGTATGTGTGTGTCTGTGTAGGTGTCTGTGTGAGTGTGTATATGTGTGTGTGTCTGTGAGTCTGTGAGTGAGTGTATGTGTGTGAGTGTGTCTGTGTGAGTCTGTGAGTGTGTATGTGTGTATGTGTGTGTGTCTGTGTATGTCCGTGTGTGTGTGAGAGTGTTTATGTGTGTGTGTGTGTGTGTGTGTGTGTGTGTGTACGCATGTGTGCTAGGGATCGAACCCAGGCCCTCACACACGCATGGCAAGTCTCCGTGCCGAGCCACACCCTGGCCTCAAGACCCTGGGGCAGCTCCTAAAACTCCTCCCCTGCGACTCCGTCCCCTGGGGCGGACGCGCTGACGGCTCCGAAGCCTCAGAATCCTCGCTTCTCAGCTGCCACATCTACCTCAAGGCTCCTCTCTTCTTTCCGGCCTCCCTACAAGCGCCAAATATCCATTGTCAACTGTGGGCATCTAATAATTTCCCGCTGGAGAAACCACAAGCGTTTGCAAAACGGGAAAAGACACAGGGACCCCAAAACGTCTCCTTTTCAGGGCAACAGACAGAACCGGGGAAAAAACCCACACAGAACCCCCCCGCCCCCACCCCGGTCCCAGGGCTCCCCCCTCATCCTGCTCAGACCCACCCCGTCCGACGGCTCCCTCCGCAGGCTGCTCAGGGCCGCCCCGTCCGACTCTCTCCTCAGGCTGCCCAGGCTGCCGGCCTTCTGCAGACTGGACGCTCTGAAAAGACAATCATAGCCATTAGGGTGAGGAATGAGCGGCTCCAGGGCCACTGTTTCTAGGCAGACTATTTGGAAGGGGGAAAAAAATCCCTCAAATCGTGTGTGGGTTGAATCCTGGAAGCAAAGGAAAATGTGGGTTCAGGCAGTCACTTAAACGCTTAAGTAAATTACAACATTTAGTCCTTCTAAAAGCAGGGTTGGCAAATTCTCCTGCCAACGGCTCTCGCTGTCCTGGCCGGGCGGGGAGAGCTGGAAAAGCACTTAGGGCTCTCCCTGTGAGGTCAGCGCTCAGAAATAAACCAGCGCGGCCCACGGACACGCGGTGGGCCCGTCACACGCGCGTGCGCACACGTACACACACACACACACACACACACACACGTGCCGGGGCTATCACAACCGGCTGTGTCATTGACGGGGACGCCTCCTCACTAGAGTAAGGACTGAGGGGCTGCAGAGGGTCCAAAGGGCTGAGCCTGAACTGTACAGGTGGGGCCCCGGGCTCCATCCCCAGCACCCCATAGTCCGGGAGCCCCACTAGGAGGGACCCCTGGGCACTGCTCAGCTTGGCCCCGAAGTCCTAACCCATGGGTAAAGGACAAAGGGCCAGAGCGACCGTCCAGCAAGGGGAGGCAGGATACTAGGTCCCCTGAGACCCTCGAGAAGCGACGCCTGAGCACTGTGGGGTGAGTCCCCCAGCCCTGGAAAATGCAACACACAGGCTGCAAGTTTCATTCTCCAGTTCACACAGGAACTGGTCTTGTGATTTCCCGGCCAGCGGAAAACCCCCTGTGCCTCGACGGAGCCGTCTGCACGCTCACCCAGACTAGCCGCTGAGGGCCACTCCTGTGGGTGTGACCGCGGCCCAGGACACGGGGGTGCGGGAAGGGCCCCTCACTGAACACCGCCTGACGGGGGGCCCGAGATGGGGGGTGGGGAAGCGCCCGCACAGGCACCACTCACTGCCTGCTGCCCCGGGATGCCCCCTCCGGCACGTGCATGGACGAGGCTGCCCTGAGGGACAGGACCCAGCACCACCACCCCCCCACCCAACTTACGGAGGGCTGTCACAAGGGCGGGGGTCCACCGCAGCAGCGGGGAGGGTGATGACATCACTGAAAGGCAGAATCGCCAAGACACAGAATCAGACGAGGGAAGCGACCTTCCCCGCCCCAGTCCACCTCCCCATTCTAGCTCGGTCCAAGGGCCTGACCCCCCACACTGCCCCCACCCTGCCCTGCCCCCACCGGCTCCCGGGTCCCAGCAATGCGCCTGGGCTGATGCTTCTCTGAGAGGGAAAAGGGCGCCCGGGGTGAAGCTGCTTCTGGGGATGCCCCGTCAGGGGGCCGGACGCCCGCACAACGTACTCTTCAAACGAGGTCTCCAGCGGAGGCAGCTTAATCTTTTCCAACGTCTCCACACCCCTGGGTGCCGGCAGTGGGAGCTGCAGGGCTCCGCCGCCTGGGAACTGCCGCGGAAGGAGAGAGGCCGGGATCAGCACAGGCAAGAAACGGAACACGAGTCACAGAGCAACAGAGCCACAGGCCGACGCGACTGCCATGGCCCTGCCCGCCTCTGAGCCTGGGCACTCAGAAGGTTCTAGATCACGGAGGGGCCTACAGCTTGAGCCAGACTGTCTTGCGGCCGTCTGCTTAGATTATCTGAGGCCCGCGTGGTTCTCTCCGATCCCGGGTGATGGGTCCTGAGCCAGCGGTGCCGGTTCCTGATGTCCGTCTGTCTCAAGCACTCTCAACTGCAGGGCCCGCGGCAGGAGGCACGGGCTGGGCGCACGGCAGGTCCTGTCCCTTCATTTCCTTTCGGCCCGACCCCCTCCTGGCTCTTGTTCGGTGTCTGCACACCCTCGATTCCTACCAAACAACTCTTCTTGCTCCAAACTAAAACGGGGGCTGAGAGCTGGAGTGACAGCACAGCGGGGAGGGCGTTTGCCTTGCACACGGCCGACCCGGGTTCGATTCCCAGCATCCCATAGGGTCCCCCTAGCACTGCCAGGAGTAACTCCTGAGTGCAGAGCCAGGAGGAACCCCTGTGCATCACTGGGTGTGACCCAAAAATAAATAATAATAGTAGTAATAATATCACTGTAGCACTCACTGTCCTCCCGTTGTTCATCGATTTGCTCGAGCGGGTCCAGTAACGTCTCCATTGGAGACTTTGTTGTTACTGTGTCTGGCATATCGAATACGTCACGGGGAGCTTGCCAGGCTTTGCCGTGTGGGCGAGATACTCTTGGTAGCTTGCCGGGCTCTCCGAGAGGGGCAGAGGAATCGAACCCGGCTTGGCCGGGCCAGCTGCATGCAAGGCAAATGCCCTACCTGCTGGGCTATCGCTCCAGCTCCAGTGGTATAATAATAATAATAAAATAAAAATCAAACGGGGCCTGTTGTGTGACGGCCGTGCCGGGCGCGGGCCTTTGTCTGGAAGGAGACGAGATTCTCCGTGCGGCCCCTATGAGTGCCAGCTATCTCTCTCATGCTCACGGGCTGCCCAACACCACCTCTTTCTCGGGGACAAACACCCAGCAATCAGAGGGGTTTTTCACTCTGAGCTACTCCTCACCCTGCAGCCCCAGGACGGGCGCCTTCCTTCAAGCCTAAGTGATCCCAAGGGAAACACCGTTCCAGCCTCAGTTTCCCCCAGCCTCAGTTTCCCGCGCTCGCCTGCTGCTGCGCCCCTCGGCCTTTTCCCCGGGGCCTGTCCTCCGGGATCCCTCTCCCGGGACAAGCCCCCGTGATACCACCTCGCCTTCCCCTCTGTGTCACTTCTACTTTTCTCCTTCTGACTCTTTTTATTTGGGGGCTACTCCTGGCTCTGTGCCGGGGGCAGGGGTCACTCCCAGCAGTGCTCAGGGGGATCGCGCAATGCGCGGGCAAGAGAACTGGGCCAGGCCACCCGCCCTCTCCTGGCCCCCGACTGTCTCCTCTCCTTCGACAGGTCAAACTTGCATCCAGACCACCGGCTGGTGGTGGCTCCTGGGGTCATCGGGACTGAAGAAGGACAGCTAAGGAGGGGACACGCCCCCTGGGGCCAGACGCGGGACCGCACCTCATCCGGCGCGCTGCAGAGGAGAGGGTCGCGGCTGGGGGAGCTGGGGACCGAGGTGGGCGGCGGGCCCCTGTCCAGGTCACTGAGGCCGGGCGCGTCCAGCAGGGTGGAGAAGGAGCTGCTGCCCGTGAGCAGCTCGTCGGAGTCGCCGTCGGGGCCTGCGGGGGACAGGCAGAGGCTGGAGGCGGCACCCGGCATTCCCTGCGCACGTCCCCGTTCACCCCACATGGACGGTTTCTGGTCCCAAGGGCACAGGGTCCTGGGCCGGGAGATGGAGGCAGGGATGCGGAGGGCCGCGTTCCATCCCGAGGGGGTCGCCAGCAGCGCTAGGGGGTACCCAGAAGTGAAGATGAGCAAAAAGCGCCAGAGAAGCGCCTGACACTGAGGGGGCCAGCCAGGGGCTGCCGGGGAGAGCCCCAGGCCCCCCATCCTCCCCAGGGCTGCCTCTCCCCAGGGCTCCCACTCTCAGCGGCACGTTTCTGACAGACACAGGGACACACCCGGTGAGGCGTGCAGGCGTTGGGACGCGTGGGGGGGCTTATGTCCTTCCCACTCCCTTCCTCCGGCTCCCAGACGCAGGGCTGCCCATAGAGGACTGTCGAGTGAGAGGAACGCATCATCTGCTTGAAAATCACAATGCTGAGGTTGTATAAAAATCAGTGTTTGGGGGCTGGACAGACGGTATAGCAGATACGGCGCTCGCCTTGCATGCAGCAGACCCAGGCTGGTCGCCCGAGAGTCACACAGCCCCGAGGGAGAGAGACAGACAGACAGACAGACAGAGACAGGGAGACAGAGAAGAGGAGAGGAGAGAGAGGAAGAAAGGGAGGGAGAGAGAGGGGGAGAGAGGGAGGGAGAAGCCCCACCGCCTGCTGCCCGGTCCCTACTGCTCCTCCGTGCACACGCCCCTTGCCGGCCCCTGCCACGGCCTTGGGGGAAGGGAGGGAGAGGACGGCGTGACCGTCCAGGGGGCCATCAAGCGCCCACCCCGGGCCTCTTACCTTTCGTGCCGGCAGCGGGGGGCGTGGGTTCCTGCATTCGCTTGTACCTGTCCAGGCACTGCCGCAGGTCTTCGATCTTCCGGTCCTGTTGGAGAAGCACGTGGCGGCTTTAGCGCCATGTGACGCGGGCACAGCCGCCCGCCGAGACGCCTCGCCCACGCCACTCGGTGCTCCGTGCTGGCAGCGGGACAGCGCAGGCACGAGGGAGGAACCCTCGCCAGGGAGAGCCTCAGCCGCGGGGTCTGAAGGGATCTAGGGCTGGGTTTGGGGACCACACCTGCTGGGCTCAGGGGTCATCCTGGCAGGGGGCGGGGGACCTTACGGGGTGCCAGGGACGGAACCCGAGGTGGGGGGAGGGAGGGAGGGAGGGAGGGAGGGAGGGAGGGAGGGAGGGAGGGAGGGAGAGAGAAGGGGAGTGTGAGGGAGGGAGAGAGAGAAACGCGGGCAGATTTCACTCGCTGTCTCTGTGGGGAGACCCCTCCGCGTCCCCCAAGCCGCCCCTATTCATTAGGGGCACAGGCGCCTCCACCGAGGGGTCACCGGCCACCAGGGAAGGAAGCGCAGCCTATGGACAACGCAGCGGCCCCAGCAGGAGGAGAAGGGGCAGCTCAGCCGAGCTGCAGACACTCTCGGGGCCAGGCCAGGGACGACACCACCGCTGTGCCTGCGCTCTGCGGACCACAGGGAGACAGGCACACACACTACATGTATATACACACGCATACACACATGCAGGCACATGTGTACACACACGGAGACACATACGCATGATGTACACACACGCGCGAGTACACCCATAGGGACATGCATGCTGACATGGGTACAAATACACACAGATGTGCATACACACACGCATGTGTACACACAAACACACGCGTGCATACATGCATACAACACGCATGTACATGCAAATGCGTACATACACGTGCACAAACACGTGTACACCTGCATACACGTATATATGCAAACGCACATACATACGCACACACATGCATACACATGCACACGTGTACACACACATATGCACACGTGTATATACGTATACATGAGAATGCACACACGCATATACACACACGTGTACACATACAGATGCATATGCTTGCACACACCACATATATACACGTATGTGCACATATAAAACAAACATACCACACATATGTGCACATGTGCACGCGTGTATCACACACACACCTGCGCACACCACACACACATGCATGCACACAACCGGGCGTGCACATCACATACATATACACAATGCACATACCACACACGCATGCAGATACATGCGTCCACGCAAAGACACACGTGGACACACACACACACGCAGAGACACACACATGCAGTGCCCGGCCCTCCGTCCCTCTACCTTGTCTTCGTTGGCGGCCATCAAGGACTCCATGGCCTTCTTCATCTTCTGCACTTCCACATCTGAAACACCCATAAGCCCCCCGTCAGCCCCTGGGCCAGCTGGGCGGGAGGGGGGGGGGCGACAGTGGCCAGCAGCGATGGACGGTGGGTGCACGCGGTTAGAGTGAAATGTGGATGGTCGGGGTGCGGCGGACCCGCCCTGCCCACACCCTGGGGGATCGACAGCGGCCCGGCCTCTCACTGAGACACCCCCGCTGGCCTGCGCCCGAGCGTCCGTCCGTGCGGACCGTGAGGCAGGGAGGGGGCTTCGGGGCTGCGAGGCGGCGGCCGTGAGTCCTGGCGTGGCAGGAAGGGGCGGCGAGCCCCGTCGAGCAGGAGCGGCGGGCAGTGGCTGGCGAACAGGCAGGCGCGTGCCGGGTGGCCTCCACCTAGAAGCGTCTCCTCGGAAAGGTCCGAGCAGGCGGAGGTGCCTGTCCTAGCGATCCGACCCGTGAGCACAGACGCGCTTACTTAAGAGTAAAAACACCAACGCTTGACAAAGGACGTCAGCCTTGAGTGAGCTCACAAATGAGGAAAAAAACCAAAGCGGGGAAAAAAAGTATCACTAAAGTTGTTGACTTCGAATTAAAAATAAAAAATAAGCCAACAGCACCCACGCTCCTTGAGATTTTCCAAACAGAGTCACAGCGCCCAGGCAGGACAGGGCAGAGTCCGCTAGGGTCAGCGGCAGCAAGAGGCCAGGATGGACCCAGGGCTCCGCGGTGGTGCAGGGTGGAGCTCGGCCCAGCGGGGCCTGGCTGGAGGGAAGCCCCTGAGGATCTGTCCCTGGACCGCGACGGCCCCCAGGGACCGACTGTCGGGCCGCCCAGCTGCCTACTCCCGCTGCAGAGTGGGGCACGGGGGCACCGCCGAGAGCTCATGGAGGAAGCAGCTGGGTGAGCTCGCGGGCACACACATGCAGAGCGGGCGGGTGGGGGCCGCAGGGGACCCTTACTTTTCTCCTTCAGCTTCTGTTTTAAGTGTTCGTCTGTGTGGGGAAGCCCGTGGACCGGCAGTTAGCACACGGTGCCATGCCAGCAGCGGCCCGGGCCACCCTCACTCCCTGCGGCGAGCACCAAGGCCACCTTGTCCGCACGTGACTCCGGCACCCGGGTGGGGACTCGCTGTCCACCAGGCCTGGGAGCCTGAGGCTTCCACAGCGGAGCGGGGGAGGGAGGGAGGGGAGGGAGAGACGGAGGGAGGAGAGGGAGGAAGGGGAGGGGAGGGAGGGGACAGCCCGGGCGGCCCACGGGCTGCTCCTCAGGGCTGCCCCGTGTCTGGCCCAGCGGCCTGCGCTGACGGGGACATCAGCGCCAGGAGGCTCCTGGGCCCGTCCTGGGCACCTCCGGCAGCAGTGCCCTGACGTCTGATGTCCGTCTCCGAGCCTCTCTCCCAGCACCCAACAGCTCCACCTGGGCACTGCCCGGTGATGTCCAGCAGGAAACCGGGACTCCCCGCCCCCACAGTCTAGACAGCTGGAGGCCTGGACCTGGGGGTGGCCTGATGCTGGCACGAACGCCACCTCCCAGGCTCCTGCAACGGGTGGGCAACGCCCATCACAGCACAGGTGTGAATGGAGGGTGCCCTGTGCCACAAACCAAGGGCTCCCCCACGACACCACAGTCGTGGGTGCCTTACTATAGTGCCACTGTGTGCCACAGGGCCACGATTCCCAACAACAATGCCACGTGTGCTGTGGATACCCAACAATGATGCCACGTGTGACATGGGCTGGGGGTCCTCCACAACGCCAGCTCTGCCCTAGTGCCAGTGGGCAACACGTGAACCCGCATTTCCAAAGAATCTGAAAAGCACATTTTGTCCTAGATCTTTCCTATCAAGCATCAACTCATACCACGGTAGCACTGTCCTCCCGCTGTTCATCGATTTGCTCGAGCGGGCACCAGTAATGTCTCCATTGTGAGACTTGTTACTCTTTTTGGCATATCGAATACCAGTCACCCAATATTCTCGTTTTGTTCCTCGTTTTGTTCAGGACAAAACTCGGTTATGAAGAAACAATTCTGGCTACGTTCAGAGCTCGCCACACTACAACTCAAGGACGCCCCCGGTGACGAGGCATCTCCATGCCACGAGCCTTCCCTCCCCCTCGAGGGGCTTCTGGAGCTCAGGCCACCGCTGCTTGCAGAGGCTCTGTGGGCCACGTGGCTCCTTTCCTGCCTGTCCGACACTCTCCGCACCGACTTGAACAGCCTGAACGAGAACTTGCTCTCAGGAAGAGAAGTTACGATTTTTGTTGTTGGTTTTGGGGTCACACCCAGCGATGCTCAGGGGTCACTCCTGGCTCTGCTCTCAGGAATTACTCCTGGTGGTGCTTGGGGGCATATGGGACGCACCTACTCACTGTCCTATCACTCCAGCCCCAGAAGCCGCCAAGTTTGACACCTTAAGTAGACACCCAGCAAGCCAAACAGCACCTGGAGACAGCTGCTCCAGACGGGAGGACGAAGGGGAGGACAGAGGGAGGGAGTGGGCACCTCGCCCTGTGCCGGGGATTCCATTCCCAGAGGCCCGACCACAGTCAGCACAGCTTCCTTTTCAGAACCCGGAGGATTTTGTCTGTTTGTTCTTTCGGGGCCTGCCCAGCAGTGCTCAGAGATCCTGCGGTGGCTTGGGGGCACAGGTGCTGCGGGCCTGGACCCCGGGTCAGCCTCGGGCCAGGCAGGAGCCCCGGGCATCGGACAGAGCGACACCCCAGGGCCCGTCGCAGCCTTACCTCGGTCCGGGAGGTGGGGCCCTTCGCCTTTCATCTGGGAAACCAGCTTCTCCTGCAACCTCTGGACCTCGGATTCTCTCTCTTCCAGCTGCTCCTTTAAAGAGGCCAGTTCCTCCTGCAAAGGATGAATCCAGGGTCAGAGGCGGCGGCGACCCAGGTCGGGGCGCGTAGCCGACTCAAGCCAATAATTCGTTTTTGTGAGTGAAACTGAGGAAAGAGGAGTGACAGGAGTGGAGGCGGCAGGTTGGGAGACCAGGCGAGGCAGAGACAGGCGGGGACCTTGGAGGACCGGCAGCGCGGGGGTCGGGGGCTCTGCGGGAAAGACCCCTCTCACGGAAGGTCCTCCGGGGCAGGGCGGCCCGGAGGTCAGACTCCTACCCGGTCACCAGACAATCACGGGAGATGCCCAAGTGTCTGGTGGGTGGGAAACTCCCGTCCAGGCTCCCGTGACGTTTGCCGAGCGCGCCAAGAGGCGCTTCAGGACACACTGGCCTCGTCGGAGGAGACGGGAAGTGAGGTTTAGCCCGGCCGCGTGGCTAGACTTAAAACTCCCGTTAAGAACAGCAAACGGGCTGGAGCGATAGCACAGCGGGAAGGGCGTTTGCCTGGCACGCGGCCCACCCGGGTTCGATTCGCAGCATCCCGTATGGGCCCCAGAGCACCGCCAGGAGTCATTCCTGAGTGCAGAGCCAGGAGGAACCCCTGAGCATCGCCGGGTGTGACCCAAAAAGGAAAAAAGAAACAACAACAAACAGCATCTTACGGTAACGGGGAAAACCAGATTGAGAAAACTTCCCTCTGGTCCTCGGCTTTGCGATGACACAAGCTCCCACTTCTTCCTCTGGGGCTTGTGGTAAGGGGACTGTCTGGGGGCCAGGGACTGGACCTGGGCTGGGGGCCAGGCAAAGGCCCTCCCTGCTGCACTACTGCTCCGGCCCCTAGTTCTAGTATTTTTAAGTTCCAGTTTCATCTTGGCGAAGAATGAAATTTAGAAATTTGAGGTTTTTTTTAATTTTTGGCACCACACCCAGTAGCGCCCAGGCCTCACCCCTGCTCTGTGCTCAGGGGACGTGGCCAGGCTGGGTCAGCCCAAGTGTCCAGCCGCTGTGCCATCTCGCTGGCTCGTGGGAGATCCGAGGTCTGCGGGCACACTTGGTGCCACTAAGGAGGACGCCTGTCCCCAGCCGCCCACCTTACTTCCGGTCTCTAGGGAGGCCCCTGGCGCTGGGAGGTGCTGATGCAGCCCCCGACAGGCTGGAAAGCCGAAAGCTGACCCCAGGGCTGGGGGCACCTGGCCCGCGCCTCCTGCTGCTGCCCTGTGAGCAGTGTCCACTGCTGGCTGGGTTCCCGGCCTGACCCTCGCCCGCAGGTGGCCCGGCCACTGCACCGCCCGGGGACGCAGGATCTAACGGGCGAGGGGTTCAACGCGCAGAGCCAGGCTGGTTTCCACTCAGGGTTTCCTGCGTTGCTGAAGCAGGGGGTGGGGTGGGGAGGGTGGGCAGGAGGGTGGGGTCCCCTCCACGGCGGGGGGGGGCATGCTCGCGAGGGGCCCGCCCCCACCGCCATGGCCCCGGCCCCGAGGTCACCTTCAGGGGCTCCCACTGCTGCTCCAGCCGCTGCTTCTCATACTGCATCTGACCCACCTTGATTTTCATGCTAGAGAGTTTGGCCATTAAGGACTGGGAGAGAGACGGGGGGAGGGAGGGAGAGAGAGAGAGAGAGGAAGAGGGAGAGAGAGAGGCAGCAGGTAGGAACCGCACACGCAGAGTCAGCCCGCCAAGCGCCAGTGTGTAAAGGAGGTGAGCAGACGAGAGAGACGGGAGCTTCTGGGCCGCGAGCAGGCCTGGCCTCCACCCAGACCCCGGGCCTCACCCACGGCCTCCCGGGGAGGGAGTCGGCACTGCGATGGGGGCTGGAATATTATACGCCTGAAACTCAATCATCAGCATCTTTATAAATTGCAGTTCTTTTTTTTTTTTTTAATGTAGGAGCCCTGCTATTCAGCCACTGATTAAACTGACTGCATTGGACAGGAACTCCACATTGCTTTTTTTTTTTTTAATCGAATCACCATGAGATGCAGTTACAAAACTCTCACGTTCGAGATTCAGCCGTACAATGATGGAACACCCCTCCCTCCCCCGGTGCACATTCTGCACCACCAAGGTCCCCATTATTCGCCCCCTGCCCATCCCAGGCCTCCCCCTGCCTCCATGGCAGGCAATTTTCCCCCGTGCTCTCTCTCTCTACTTGGGGCTATATATTTCGTTCGGATTTTCCCATCATCATTCGAGATAAATCGCAGTTCTTCCATAGGAAATGAACGAATCAAAACTCAATCCGCGCCTCCCCGTGCAGGTGGGGCGGGGGACAGCGTCCCGCCCAGCGCTGACCCCCGCGCGCCGGCTGTAAGGGGGCCCAGCGTGCTCGCCGTGGAGAGACTTACTTTGGTTGACTTGAGCTTCTTCTCATACTGCTGCTTCTCGCCGTCCATCTCGCTGACCCTGAGCCTCAGAACACTGATCTCCTGCACCAGGCCCTGCGGCGAGACACCGCACGGACGGTCGGAATCAGGGCTCGACCCCGCGCCCAAAGCAAAGGAAGCGGGGAGTTAACCGCCTGCTCTCGTTGCTCGGAGATTCAAAATCAGCACAGGAGCACTTTTGCGGGAGGGGGTTGGGAGCGGGGAGTTTGGGCCTGCCCGGCGGTGCTCAGGGGCGACTCATAGCTCTGTGCTCGGGGATCACTCCCGGCGTGATGGCAGGGACCACGTGGCACTGGGGACCAAATGAGGGTCCGTCAGATGCTGGGCCAGTGCCTCAGCCCTGTGCTATGTCCTGGGCACTAACGGCTTTTAATTTCTTGTTTTGTTTTGGGGCCAGACCCAGCGGTGCTCAGGGCTTACTCCTGGCTCTGCACTCAGGAATTACTCCTGGCAGACTTGGGGCACCATATGGGATGCCGGGGATCGAACCCGGGTCGGCTGCATGCAAGGCAAACGCCCCACCCGCAGTCGTCACTCAGACTCCCAGCCCGCTAATGTTTATCAAAATTAACCACACAGGCTTTCTTTATGGGAAGCCATGCCGTTTTGGGATATTTTCACTGGCGCTCTGGGGACCAGAAGGGATGCCGGGATGGAATCTGGGCTGGCCGCGAGCGAGGCCAGGCCGTGCCATCGGTGCTATTGCTCCGACCCTCTGCTTGTGTCTGGGCATCAAACCTCGGTCAGACAAACAACGGGTGTGCAAACGCCTTGTCCGAGCTGCCCGACTGTCATATTCCTTTTGCTACATAGTATCTTGGTTTGATTCCACTGCTAGTTTAAAGAAACACCAACTTCCTGGTGACTTTGAGTTCAAGGAATCAGTTTCCTCCACGACCTGCCTCCTGCCTATTCACCACCCTGGCACAACTGAGTCCGTGGTGAGCACCTTTGCCAGCTGGTCTCTCATCTTCCCCGGTCCCCCAGGTCCTGTGGGGTGTGACCCTGAAGGCCTCCATTTCTGTGAGGGGCCAGCACCCCAACCTTGCCACTACCCAGTTGCCTGCCAAGGGCCCCTCACCCAAACCAAGGCGCCAGAACCAGCGCTGGGTTCCACTGGGTACTGCTGGGTCAGGGCCAGAGAAAAACAACCACAGAAAATGAATTTACTCACGGACATATTTGATCTTTGTTTTGTTTTGTTTTGTTTGGGGGCCACACCTGGAGGTGCTCAGGGCTGGCTCCTGGCTCTGTGCTCGGGATGTCACCCGGCAGGGTTGGGGGCCCCTACACGGTGCAGGGGAGGGAACCCGGGTTAGCCGTCACTGAGGTCACTTTACTATTAAGACCCCACGGGACCATCTTTTGTTAAAACACTATTATAAACACGTGTATAGAGACTCACAGCCTGGGGAAGTCCAGCTGGAAAAAAACCCCAAACCGCCCCTCGATATGAAAGTTTAAAGAACGGAACGCGAATGACCTCAACGGGTCTATTTTCAGAAGTTCAGTTCTCTTCATCAACAAAATCCCTGCTCCCTTTCAGAGAACTGTGGGGTTGGGTAGGGTGCAGGTGAGAAACGCAACCGGGAACCTGTGTGTCCCCACCAGTGGGCGCCCGAGCGTGGGACCCCCACCCCCCCCTTGCACCCCCGTTCCAGGGCCGGAAGGCGGGCAGCTCTCAGGAGCCCCAAGACTGCCTACTCCCCCCTCCAGCCAGTGTGTTCTTCGAAAGTCGTCTCCAAGTCATCTAAAATTATAAGGCAAAGCTACGGAATTCTCGGGCCCACAAAACTGCCAAGAACATCAACTTGGTTGTTGCTTTGGGGCCACACCTGGAGGTGCTCAGGGCTGCCTCCTGGCTCTGTGCTCAGGACTCACTCCTGGTGGGCTCAGGGGCCCCTAGGGGGGGCCGGGGGTTGAACCAGGGTCAGCCGATGCAAGGCCAGAGCCCTCCCGGCTGTGCTATCGCTCCAGCCCCTCCCCCCAGAGTTCTAATAAGAGGAAGTGGACGTCTGGATGCCCACAGGGCTGCGGCTGTGCATGGGGTCCCTGGCACCGAGAACGGGGAGCACACGATGAGGGCGGCACCAGGGACCAACCCCCCTTCACACGCACCACGGACGTGCGACCTCGCTCTAGAAACAGCGCGTGTGAGGGAGCGGAGGGCCAGAGACGCCCACCCACATCCCCGCACCCACCTCCGTGTCCCTGAAGCGATCCTCGTAGTCCAGCCGGTCCTTCTCCACGGCCGTCAGCTTCAGCTTCAGGTTGGAGATCTCGGCCATCAGGTCCAGCTTCTGCGTCTCCAGGGACGTCCTGCTCAGGAGCTCCTGCAGGGGCCACGAGCCCGCTCAGCGGCTGCTTGTTACGATGGGGCGAGCAAGCAGGCCTGGGGCTCACACAAGCACAGGCGCACGCGCACACACACACACACACACTCACACACACGTACAGTTACACAAGTTGAAGACATGCATACTCACACGTGCACATACACAGACACACAGACACGCACACACAGGCACAGGGACACACAGGCACGCAGCTACGTGCACGCACACACCTGCACACACAAGCACACGGGCACGCGCGGGCACCTGCTGCAGCATTTCCTCCGTGGCGTTCAGCTTCTCCCGGTGCTCCTCGAGGCAGAACTCCAGGTCTCGGATCTTCTCCCCCTGCGCCTCCACCTGGTCCGTCAACACGCTGACCTGAGCGGGCACAGACCCAGCCGTCAGGGACCCAGGGGCTGCACAGACCTCACCCCTGCACAGATCCGGCCATCAGGGACCCAGGGGAGGCACAGACCTCACCCCTGCACAGACTCGGGCGTCAGAGACCCGGGGGCTACAGAGACCTCACCCCTGCACAGACCCAGCCATCAGGGACCTGGAGGCTGCGCAGAGCGCAGAGCTCAACCCTGCAAAGACTTGGCCATCAGAGACCTGGGGGCTGCACAGCCTCACCCCTGCTCTGAGCGAGGCCGGGGCCCTGTCCATGGGGATGGCCTCCTGCCCGCTGGGAAGACGCGTGCCGGGATGCAGGGGGTTGCGGGGGGCCCACAGGTGCCAGGAGAAGGAGGATGGGCAACACCGAGCCTGAAACAAACCCGGGCCCACCCTGGGGTGCACCCCAGGAACAGGGAAGCGGCAGCAGGGGCCCAGCTGCTCCCAAGGGTCCCTCAGCCCCAGGGCAGCAGAGGGCGGCAGTGAGGGCCGCGGGGGCCGGGCCGAGTTGCTCACCTGCAGGACCAGCGACTCCTTGTCGTTCTCCAGGCGTGCCAGCCGCTCCTGGTACACGTCCCCGTTCCCCAGCACGTGCCCGTTGGTCTGAAAGGAACGACCCGGAAGGCGCGCTCAGGTCAGGGCCACGCAGCGTGGGGGACGGAGCCCAGGCCCGGGGAACCACCACCGACAGCACAGCCCTGGGGGGCGTCGCTGACCCCCAGCCGAGTCAGCCGTGGAGCTCAGTGTGGCTGCACCCGCCCACAGCGTCCGCTCCAGTCAGAGGGGACGGCAGGGTGGCACCCGACCTGGGTGGGCAGCCGGTCACTCCCCCAGGACAGGCCTTGGAGCAGACGGAGTGGGCGGCGTCTCTGGCTCCCCCAAGCTTCCCGGGCCTCCCGAAGTCCTGCCTGCCTCACCCCCAAACCAACACCCGAGGGGGTCTGATGCCCAACCCTGCTGGTGAGAGCCCGCAGGCTCCTGGGACAGAACCTTCTGGAACCTTCCAGAGCTTCTGGGACCAGGGAGCGACCCCCAAATGGGGCCTGAGTACCAGCAGCCCGAGCACCGGCCTGAGGACTTGACCGTTATCTTCGCTTTCCCCCCACATGGGCCTGGGACTGCCCCCTCCTCGTGCAGGGTCCAGCCTGTGCTCGAGGATGGACTGGCCACATAGAGGCATGCCCACCCCGCCCCCGGCCCCCATAAACCTGCAGAGCACCCCCCCGGCAGGACCTTCTCTGAACTGTGTGTTCACAGAGGTAGAGCTGTCCTTGGGAAGGGCGGGGCGTCCTGCAGCTCAGGGGCAGGCCTGCCGTTGGGGACAGAGACCGCGCCCCCCCTCCCAGGCCACCCCCAAATGCACTGCACCATCCGGATGGCAAGGAGGCCGCAGTGACCGCCCCGCACCACTAGGTGGCACTGCCAGCCTGCCCAGAAGGCCCCCTCGGTTCTGGTCCGGGCTCCTCCCTTCCCGCCGGTCACCTAAGCCGCGTCCAGCCGTCCAGCCGGCATCCGGTGGCCGGCCGCACTCACAAAATGCACTGGCCAGGCTCAGAGGCGTCACCGCGGGCCCGGGGGCACCTACCATGTGGCTCTGCAGCCAGGCGGCGAGGGCGTCGGCCGTGGAGTCGGGGACCTGGCAGCGCAGACCGTCCTTCTCGTCCGGCTCCATCACGTCCAGGAGGCCGCGCAGGTCCTCCAGCAGGTGCAGCGCCCGCAGGCTGCCCATGAACGGGGACGTGGGCGACTGGCAGTCGAAGGCGCCGTTGGAGTACTCCAGGGCCTTGGAGCCTGCGGGCGCCACACACGGGTGGGTCAGCCCCGTCGGGGAGGCCAGGTGGGCACAGGCCCGCGCACCCGCTCAGGGCTGCCCAGGGATGCGCCGGGCTCGGGGGCAGCTCCCAACTCAAGGAAAGCCAAAGAGGAGATGAGAGTGTGTGTTAACTTGCCCGGATGCGCCATCTGTGAGCACTGTGGGCACCTCACCTGTGAGCACCCTCCTATGGGCACCCTACCTGTGGGTCCCTCACCTATGAGCACCACACCTGTGAGCACCTCACCTGTGGGCCCCTCACCTGTGAGTATCCTCACTTGTGAGCACCCACCCTCCTGGGGGCACCTCACCTGTGAGCACCTCTCCTGTGAGCACCTCACCTGTGGGCACCTCACCTGTATCCTCACCTGTGAGCACCCTCCTGTGAGCACCACACCTGTGAGCACCTCACCCGTGGGTCCCTCACCTATGAGTATCCTTACCTGCGGCCCCTCACACCTGTGGGCACCCTCCTGTGGGCCCCTCACCTGCGCCCCTCACCTGCAATGATGCCGTCCATCTGCTCCAGCGCGGCCGCCAGCATGTCGCTCGCGTCACTCATCATTTTGCCTCTGGTCACGAGCCAACCCTAGCTAAGGTCTGAAAGGACAAAGGCGTCAGGTCCCCTGGTCACGGCGATGTGCCCCCGGAGCCCAGGCAGGGAGAGGACCTGGGGTGGGCCCCTTGCTGCTGAGTCGTGCCCGTCTGCCGGGCCCCTGCGCCCACTGAGCTGAGGGTGCCCAGGGGCGTCGGAAGGCAGGACGGCCCCTGCTGAGCCGCACACAGTGGACACCCCGGCCCCGGCTCCCCCGTGGCCCCGCCCATCCCTGCACAGAGGCAGGAAGACGCTGAGTGTGACCCCCCAGGTCCAGCACAGCCCTCAGAGCAGGGGCTGAAGGGCAGCGGGCCCGGGTCTCCGAGGATCGAGCCTCGGTCGCATGCAGCCAGGGCTATTGGGGCACCCAGCCGTGACAGGCGGCACCGGGACCCTGAGCACTGCCGGGGCAGGCGACATCAGGCCAGCTCTGGCCCGGCACTCGGCAGGAACCTTTGCCCTGGTTTCCAAGCAGCCGACCTCACCCGGCTTCCTCTGTCGCGGCCAGCGTCCCGGCAGGCAGCGGGGGACCGTCTGCCTGCACCCCGGGGTCAGGTCTCCCCTGGGGATGTCCCGGGGTCTCCTGCACTCGCCTTCTGGACCCCACTTTGGGGGAGGGGCGACAGAGCCCGCAGTGGGCGCAGGCCCAGGCTCCTCACGCGGGCTGGGGCACAGAACGGACCCCCAAGGACAGGGTGGGGATGCAAGACCCGCCAGCTGCCCCCGCCCTGGCCACGCTGTGTCCAGTCACTGAGGCCAAGCCTCATCCACGTCCCAAACACAGCGCCACGTTAGATTGCTTCTCAGGGGCTGGAGCAATAGCACAGCGGGGAGGGCGTCTGCCTTGCACGCGGCCGACCCGGGTTCAATTCCCAGCATCCCATAGGGTCCCCGGAGCACCGCCAGGGGTAATTCCTGAGCACAGAGCCAGGAGTAACCCCTGTGCATCGCCGGGTGTGACCCAAAGAGCAAAAAAAAAAAAGTTGCTTCTCAACGTGCCCCCTGCACTCAGCACTCAACGCCCAAGACAGACAGACAGATGGACAGACGCACAGGAGATGGGCAGGGGCGCCGGGGAACGGAGAAACGAGACCATGGATGAGTCCGGCTGGAGCCCTGAAGCCCGTGTCCCCCACGAGAGGGGGAGCGGCCGTCATACGGCTTCTGGGTGTCTCCGACCAGGACGCTGCAGGGAGCCAGAGCTCTGAGGCGGCCACGGACACGCGTTCCCAGCAATTCTCGGGCCACCCGGCCGAGGACGCAGCTCCCGGCCTGACTTGCTCGGGGCACCACGGGGGGGTTTGAACCCGGGTCAGGCATGTGCAGGCTCGAGGCGTGGCCCCCTGATGTGTCTCCGGCACAGGCCCTGGCAGAGACGAGCCTCTAGCGCCAGACGCGGTCAGGGTCCAGCCCCCGAGTCCTGCGGGTGTGGGGGGACGCCTGCCCCCCCCCCGGCACTCACACCAGGAGTCATCCCTGAGTGAGCAGAGCCAGGAGTGAGCCCCGAGCACCGCCAGGTGTGACCACAACCAGCGAGTAACATAACGACAGGGGAGGCAGCGAGGGGACGGGAGGGGCCGCCTGAGGGACAGACCGTCCATTCGGACGCCACACAGGCCAGAAACGCGGGGGCCTGCTGGCTCTCCCCGCCCCCCGCCCCTTGCTCCCCGTGGCGTCACCTGGAGCTCAGAGGCCCTGGGCCCTGACGCAGCCCCTTAAATATTTTGTTTTTCTATCACAGCCTCAGCATACCAAGGGCTCCACAAATATTTGCAAACCAAACAAGAAAACACTTCTTCGGAGCACCTGCGTAAACAAAAACACTCGGAAGGGCCCCTTGCCTCTCGGGGGAGCCGCTCCCGGGCCCCGTCCCGCCCACCGCGGGGGCCACGGCAGGGGCACGGCACAGCCAGCAGGCCAGAGGCTCGTCCACAGTTGAGATCCAGGCTCTGGGCAGGAGGAGGAGGCGGAGCTGTGGGGTAAACTGAGTCTCCTCCCGGCCTGAGGACACTCCACGGCAGGGCGGTCTGTGCCCGCCCCCTGCATCCACCCCTTCCCAGAAGCCGCCCTGAAGCTCAGCCACACGCCACCAACCCTTGGGGCCCCGGCCCAGCTGTGGCCAGGCAGTGGCCTCGGGCGCAGCGGGGTCCGTCTTCCCTTCCCTCCCTCTGGGGCCTGCTGGCCGGCCGGCCGCACCTCACCGGGCCTGACTCGGGGAGGACCTTCCTTCCGCTGGGCCCCGGGTGCCGCGACGGGTGTGGCCTGCCCGCTGCCCACGCCAGGACCCAGGACCTGGGCGACTCGAAGCCTTTCCTGGCGGCAGGAGCTGGAGGCGCCCGGGGGCACACGGCCCTCTCGCTCTCCCCACGTCCACCAGCCTCGCCGCAGCTACTGAGTCCCGTGGGACATCGGGGTGGGGAAGGCCGGCAAGTGCCCGACCCTACAGGTGCCCGCGGGAAGGTGAGCAGAGCGCGAACCCCCAGCCCAGCGACCCAGCAGTGGGGAAGGGCTGCGGCCAACTCGCGACATCCTGCGGTGGGTTTAATTCAGAGATACGTGTGTGTGTGTGTGTGTGCAGACGTGCACGCTCAGAGAGAGACACGCATGCACACATCTTTTCCACGCACACACAGTTGCACACGTGCGTGGTGTCCATGCATGGAAGGGCCCCGTGCCTGAGTCTGCCCCACACGCCCCGTACACGCGTGTGCTCACAGAAGCCATACCCGCATGTGCAAATGGGCACGCGCGTCCTCACAGACCCACATGCGCACATATGTGCACCCGTGCATCTGTGTGTGTGTGGGGGGGGGGGTGACACACCGCAAACATGGGTGCTGTGGGCCGGAAGTGGGAGTAACAAGTGAACTGTGTCAGGGAAGGCTGGGGGCACTCCTGAGGCTGCGGGTGGCGGGGAGCCAGTGTGCTCTGACCTACATGCCCACGGGGGTCTGCGGCTGCGGAGGGGTGGGCCGCCTGACAGCGTGACCCACACCAGGGGCACGGCCGTTCCGCCCAAGCACAGCGGGACGAGAAGCGGTCAGCGTGGCCCAGAGCTGGGCTGGACAGGGGAGAAAGGGCGGCTGCTCCCCCCAGGGACCCCCCCAGACCCCAGCTCCTGCCCTGGGGACCCTCCCCAGGGACGCCCCCGATACCAGCTCCTGCCCTGGGAATGCCTCCAGGGACCCCCAGGGACCCCAGCTCTTGCCCTGGGAATGCCATGGTGCAGCTCTAAGTATGAAGTCTCTGCCCGGGCCCAGCAGGGCTGGAGGGCGCAGTCTCGGCCCAGCAAGGCCCGTAGCGCCCGGTGCTGGCCGACACGGGACCCCCCCACAGCCCAAACCAAGCCACGGAGGCCTCCAGAGGCAGCAGCGAGCAGACCGCCCCCCAGGAGCCGCCTGAGTGCTGGGGGCTGACCCCGACCCAGAACACGAGCTGAAGAGCGTCCCCCCCATACGCGGCAGTGAGGGTCCTGAGACACGAGGCCAGTCCAGAGGCCACACTCGGAGCCCAGCCAGCTCAGCGTCCACGCGCTCGAGTACAGCGGGGCAAGAAGCGGTCAGCGCTCGGCCCTGGCTCTCAGGGGCTGCCGCCTCCTGCCCACCCGCTGAGGGGAGGGGAGGGCAGCTGGGCCGGCCCCGCTCACCCCGAGTCCTCCGTGGGGTGGGAGCGGGCAGCCCTGGGGAGGGCCCGCGAGGACCCTCTGGCAGCCGAAGGCCGAGAGACGCACCAACAATGCAGCTGGGTCGATGCGACGCCCCTCAGGGTCACGGTCACTGTACCTCTCCAGCCGCGCCGGGCCCTGCACATGCCCTGGCCTCCTTGGCTGCCACTCTTGGTCACTAGGATGGTCTGCTCCTTAGGGGCCAGCGGGCAGGCGCCCCTCTGGCCAGCCAGAAGCCGCCCCCTTGAAGGCTATGCACGGCCGGGGTGGACAGGTTGGAATCCCCCGGGCGCCCATGCACTTAAGGATCCCAGTAGGGTCGTGTCCGGCCCAGCTGCCCCGGCTGGACAGCACAGAGGAGCTCTGGGGCTGTAGTGCTGACCAGTGAGATGCCCCCTGGGGCGGAAGCAGAGAGCCACATTCCTGGGGCCTGAGTCTGCCCCCTGCCCCGCCCCCTTCCTGACTGTACCTCAGAGAAACTCCCGGGGGCAAAGGCCCAGCGGCAAGTCGCTGTCCCCAGGGGCTCCCCGTGCCCCGCACCTGCTCCCGACACCCCTCCCCTACACTTTGGCTCTCGTAGACTTTTAAAAATAGTCTTGCATCGTTCAACTTTTCCATAACCGTTTTGCACTGTTTTCCTACAGAGTTATTTATAATAAGTTATAAATAAGATTCGAACAAGCCTGGCTTGAGCCCCAGCCCAGGCACTCAGGGAGACCAATTAGCATTCTAACTCAGTGCCACCGGGTAGGGGACCCCCCACGGCCACACGCTGCTGGGGGCCCTGGGAGACCTTCTCTGTGCTTCACACTGTTGGACACGTCCCAGGGGGGACACTGAGGCACCGTGACGCTCCAGGAAGGCACGGGAGTGGCCATGGGCCGGGTGTCTGGGTGGCCCTGAGATGGCGGGTGCGTAACGTGGAGGAACCGCCGTCCCGCTGCATCTCTGGGGTTCAGAAGGGGCTCAGGGCTCCACAGGGCCCCCCGCCCCCGCCAGGGAGCCTGAAAATGGTGCAGCAAAGCCCGGGCAGAAGGTGCAGGTCTGCTGGCACTGGGGGGCTGCAGGGCCCACCCCACCCTAAGCCCTGGGACCCCCCTCCGAGGGAGAGGCCAGGCCTCTGCAGGAAGCAGCTCTACTCAGTGACCACTGGTCTCCTCCACGCGCCGTCCAGCAGTCCCCAAAGACTTCTAGGGGGTCTTTCCACCTGGGGGCTTGCACTGCAGCACACTGGCCCGAGGGGACCCTCTGGGTATGTCCCCCGCAGCTGAGGCTCAGACTCTGGGAGCAGGCGGGTGGGTGGGCAGGTGGGTGGGCCAGAGGGCAGGGCGGAGGCGTGTCTGCACTGGGCAGACTCCAGGCCGAGGCAGGCAGCCCCGTGAACGCCCAACGCCCCGGTGATGGAGGACACTCCCTGAGGCGTCCCTTGCCTGTGTCCAGCACATGGTCCCATCTCCCCGCCCTGCCGCCGTCACTCCATGGGCACTCCCTGACTGGGATGCAGGAAATGCTGCAGGAACACTCTCGCACCCTGCCCTGGTCACCCTGATCTGCACTGGGCTTTCTGAGCAGTGAGCCAGGCAGATGGTCAGCGCTGGCCCCTGTCTGCTGGCCACAGGGCCCCGGGAGGCACAGGTGCAGACAAGGCCCACGTCCATCATGACACGGCGCTGGTGTAGACGGAGACCCACTCTCTCACTCGCCTGTGGCCACTGCCTGAGGCACACCAGGGGCTGCCCTGCTCGACGGGACAGTGGACAGTCCCCCAGAAGACACCTGCAGGTCGCTCCAGGGGTCTCTGCAGCCACGGCAGCGGAGAATGTGGCCCGGAAGCAGGAGAGTTCTAGAAGACAGGCTTCGGCAGCCAACGGGCTTCCCTCCTCCCACACCCGCGCCCGCCCGCACCCTGGCTGTGCTTGGGGGGGGACGGTGCCCACGCTCCTCCGTCCACGCACCGATGGCCTCTTGGTCCACGTGCGATGTGCGTTCCTGGTCTGCACACCCTCATCTTACGAGGCCGGTGGGAAGCCCAGTGTCCATCCCCCCACCCCGAGGGGTCACCCGGAGCACATCATCAGCCCACAGCCCGGGGGGAGAGCACCCATGTGGCCCCCAGGGCCGGCCTGTCACCTGTTCTGCCATCTGTGGCTCCCGCCACCCTGCACAGCCGCGGCCCCACCCCACCCTCCCCGGGACCCCTGCCCGTCCTGTGTGTGAGCCCCCTGCCTTCCCAGGGGTCACTCCAAAGCCTGTCTCAGCAAACGCACCGAGCCAGGTGGACCCCGGAGGGAGGCTTGGGCGGGCCCGGCCCTGCGGGCTTCCCGCTCTCTCGGGGCCCCGGGTCAGTTCTGAGCTGCCACGGTGACCAACGGTCCCGGAATCCGGCAGTTGGCCCTCCCGCCAGAGGGACACGGTATCGGCCTCGACGCAGGCCTCGCTCATGGCCCAGGAACTGGAAGCCCGGACTTGGTGTGAGCAGCCAGCAGGCGGCGAGGAGGCGTGTGTGAGCGCGTGTGAGCGTGTGTGAGCGTGTGTGTGTGGGAGAGCATGGGCTTGGCCCGGGAGGGGCGGGTGGACGGCACCCGCGTGCCTCCCGGGGCAGTGTCGGAGGGTCTCGGCGGGGCTGAGGCCCTGCCCCAGCCCCCACGCCCGGGCAGTCATCGCCTCGGGTCCTCCCTGCAGACTCGCCGTGGCCGCTGCCCGGGGCACCAGGGGTCTGCCGTGACACACAGGCCGGCCCCGTGAGGCAGCACCACCTTGGCGCCAACTGTCCCGTGGGCCACATCCACGTGGGGATGCAGTTGACAAGGATCAGAGACAGGGAGAGAAGCACACGATGGGTCCCCGCGGCCGAGGGGCCACAGCTGGACAGTGGGACCTGCCCAGCCCCGTCTCTCTGCAGCGATCTCCAGCGACCGCGTCTGCCCTGCGCGGACAGATGGGGACAGTCAAGGGACCCTCTGCTCTGCCCTGGGCTGTGGCAGAAGGCGTGCGCGTGTGTGGGGTGTGTGTGTGTGTGTGTGTGTGTGTGCATATGTGTGTGCATGCATGTTGGGTGTGTGAATGTGTGTGTGTGTGCGTGTGCGCACCTCCCTGCTGTGGGCACAGGGTCCTTCCAGAGGGAGACGGGAAGGGATGCTGAGGCTCAAGGACTCACCTGCCTTTTCCTCTCCCGGCCCCACTGTTTCTCTCCCGTCCTCCAAAGCTCCCCGGGACGAGGACGGCCGTGAGGAAGGGCAGCGCTCCGGGCCTCAGGACGAGGATGGCGGCGAGGAAGGGCAGCGCTCGGGGCCCCGGGCCTCTCCCCCACGCGACTCCCGCCGCAGCCCCAGCTCAGGCTCGGACCTCAGCGTGTCCGTGGGCTGCTTCCCCTGCGAGGACTCGCCGTCCTGCGAGGACTCGGACCCCGACAGCCCTCTGCCCTACTACGTGCCGCCGATCCAGAGCATGTGGAGGACCCAGAGGGGGTCCAGCGGGAGGCCGCAGGGCGGGGCCAGCCCGGGGCCCGCTGACAAGCTGGGCATCACCCTGGCCTGGGACCTGGATGCGGACTCGGCCAGCTCAGACGCGGCGGCGGCAGCCAGCTGCGCCCTGGCGGGGGACGCCCTGCTGGGGGCCCAGCGCCTGCCCAGCCAGAAGCAACTGGCCCTCAGCCAGCTGGACGGACTGGTCCAGAAGCTGGAGAAGTTTCTGGAAAACCACCAAGAGGACAACGAGGACGACGACGATGACTCTGTGCTCTGTGAAAGTGCCCACGAAGAGGCCGCCCAGGGGCCCGGCAGCCCCAGCCCCGACCCGGGGGAAGGACGCGCCACCGAGCGCACCGGGTCCCGACACACAGTGGACGCCCCGTGCCCGGGAGAGGGTCTGACGCCGCAGGGGCCCGGCCTGGCCCAGGTGAGCGGGGACAGCCCAGGGTCGCGCTGGGGCACGGCCAGCACGTGGGTTCTGGGTGGCCGGGATGAGCTGGTGACCAGGGAGGGGCCGGGCTGGAGGTGACCGGCTGGGCAGGCCACACCCGTGTCCTTTCTTGCAGCCGGGAAGCCCCACGGCAGACACCGCCTCGGAGTGGCCGGGTGGCCCGGAGGAGGAGGCCCCGGCCGCGGACACGCAGAGCCCGTCCTGCCTCAACCTCTGGGGGGCCGTCCACTGGCTTCGACGGCGCGTCCTCTCCTCCCTGCAGGCCCGAGGCCGCGCGGACAGGGGCCGGGGGGACCGGACCCTGCACAGGGGCACGCGGGTCCAGCCACAGGTGTCGCTGGAGTCGGGGTGCCCCGAGGACCCCGGGTTATAGGGCCCGTCAGAGCCCGGAGTCACGCCCCTCCCAATAAACCCCAGCAGATGCCCACCCGTGTCCCTGTCCTGTCTGGCTGCCCAGAGCGCCATGTCACTGGCCTTCCTGCCCCACCACACGGGGCCGTGTCCCCTGGGAAACAGCCAGCAGCGCCTGTCCTCTGGGGTCACACCCCCCCGACCAGCAGAGCAGAGCTGCTGGGCCAGTGCACAGCGCATGTGGGGTGCTGGGGTTCGAACCTGAGATTACACGCTCGCCCTGGGGTGTTCCCAGCCCCTGCACAGACCCCGGCCTGGCCTCAGCACATCACCCAGCCCGGGCTGAAGGAGAGGCTGGAAGGGACCTGGAAGGGACCACTCCAGCCCTCTCCTCAGGCAGGTTGGCACACCCACCCACCCACACACACACACACACACTCACATATTAACACATACACGGTCACACATACATGGTCATATACACATATACACGTATAAAACACTCAAACAAAACATAACATATACACACACTCATACAAATGACACACACACCCAGTCACACACACGTAGTCTTACACACAGTCATACATACGCAGTCACATACTTTCACAACACTCAAGCAAACATTACATAACACACACACATATATATATATATATACACACACAAACACTCATACAAACCACACACAGTCACAGAGAGTCACACATACACATGGTCTCACACACGCGGTCTCACACACAAGTGTGCTTCCAACTGGGCCTGCAAGACACACACACAAATACACTCGTACACATACACACATATACCATTTACTCATGCAAACATAACACTCAGACACACACATACACACATGTACACTCACACAAACATAATACACACTCAGACATGTACACACTCAAATACTGTCTGCTCCAGCAGGGTACACACACACACACACACACACACACACACATTCATGCACTCAGACACGCAAACATAACACACACACACACACACAGACGAGGTCTGGAGTCTTGAGGCGCTGCCCGCGCTGTGCTGTGTGAGTCTGTCCACACTCAGGTGTGGCCCCCAGGGCCGGGGCCAGCACAGAGCCGCGTCCCCCTGATGGGAGGAGGCAGAGGCCAACGGGGTGGCGAGGCCGGGTGCTGTGGGATTCCCCTCGCTGCCCCGACAGTTGTGATCTGCCGCACTTGGTGTTTCAGGCGGGCCGAGGCCGGGCCCAGCGGTGCCGGGGGTCCCTCATGGGCCTGCGCTCAGGGTCACCCTGGGGGGCTCGGGGAGCAGCCGGGGTGCCAGGCTTCAACGAGGGCCGGCCACGTGCCAGGCAAGTGCACTCCCACTGCACAGTGCTCGGCCCCCAGTTTCCTTGTGTTTAAGGGCAGGCAGTGGCTGGAGAGGGCGCCGGGCAGGCCCACCGCATGAGGGGTGCGGCCGCACGAACCCTCAGGGGAGGCCGAGGGGGGAAACTGAGGCCCAGAGTGGCCGGGGAAATCTGGGGCAACGTTTCTGCTCAACGAGGGAAGCGGGGAGGCTGCGGGCGGCCCCACACCCGAAGCCCCTGGCTCCTGAGCGCCAAGCGGGGGCCAGGCAGGCCAGTGAGACCAGGTGGACGGGGGTGTTCATGGCTCGGCGGCCCCACGGCTTCCTACTGCCCGCCCGGCCCCCCGAGGAGAACAACGCGCGGCTTTGAGCCGTGAAACGGGATCCATCAGATAACACTGCTCCCCGCAGGAGGGGGTCCGGGCCCCAGATAACCCCCCGGATGGTGAGGAACGCGGAACGCCCCCCTGGGGCCCTCCACCCCGGAGCTCAGGATCCGGATCCTGACCTAGCCACCCTGCTGGTGCAATTTCCAAGTGGGAGGGCGAAGGTCCTCTCAGATTACCGCTGCGGACACAAGCCCGGCTCCTGCTTATGGGAATCTCCAGGCGGAGAACAGCAGAAGGGCCCTTGCTTGGTTAGTGTGGGCGCAGGGCCCCCACAGCGACCACCCCTCTCTCTCCCTTCCTCCCTCTCCTTCTCTTCCTCCTTCCCTCCTCCTCCCTCCGTCCCTCCTTCCCTCCCTTCCTCTCCCTCTCTCCTGCCCTCTCCCCCCTACCCCGCCCCCCGGCCCACTCAGACAGAGGACAGTCCCTGAGTGTCTCCTCGCTGGCCTGGTCCTCCCAAGAGCAGAACAGCCGCTACTGGGACAGGGCAGACCCGTCCCCAGGAGCCATGCGGGGTCTGGGCAGTGCCCACCTATGAGCACGAGCTGGACCTTAGGGGAGCCCCTGGCCAGCGAAGGGCTGCCCAGTTGCACCACTGGGAGTTGTGCGACAGCCTGGGGCACGCCACAAGGAAGATGGGGCAGGCATCAAGCCCGCCTACCTGCCCGCTCCCACCCGGCTGCAATGCAGAGAGACCCCCACTCGCTGACACCCATGTGCATCCCAGCCAGGCCTGTGGGGGACCCCTTCTCACCCCAACGGTGACAGCAACACCGGGAGGGACAGGGAACTGTTCGGAAGATCAAGTCGTCCGGAGACTCGGTTAGCCGAGTCGGGCCGGGGGTCTCAGCCAAGGCAAAGCTGCAGCCAGGAGCCACCCGCGGTCCCCGGCTCCGAGTCTGGGGTGGGGGCTTCTGCACTGACACCCACGGCAACCTGGTCCTCACAGAAGCGGGGCTCTTCCCGACAACATGAGCTAACACGAGGAAGTCCAGGCGGGGAGGCGGGCACTGCCCAGAGGCGGGCACAGCACAACCTCAAGTCCTCAATGAGCCCTGCAGACCCGGGACAAAGGAAGGTCTGGACGGCTGGGGAGACCGAGGCACCGCCCGCCAGCACCAGAGAAACGACACGAGGGCGGAGTCGAGAAGGCGACAGTGGGCAGCAGAGGCGGAGGGAGAGCTCGGGGCTGACCCCCACCCTGCCGTGCCCCTCAGCCGTCCGGCCCCCCGCCAGCAACTCCTGCTCCAGACCTCCCAGGGTGGACGGCGGGTACAGGGGGAGCAGCCCGGCCTCGAGCCCCCCCAAACTCTCCGGCTGCTAGAACTGGTTTCACTTAGGCCGGGCTCTGGCGGGCAGCTGTGGCCCAGTGGGCGGTGCCCTCTGCCTTCCGAAGCCCGGCCCGGACAGCTTGTGTTTACTCCCCAGGAGCTTCCTGGACATTCTCTGTAGCCTGAGCCAGGACGGCCTGTCCCCTGCTGCACTGGCCACCCTGCAGGGCCTGATGTTTCCTGTGCTGGGGGCCACGCCCCGGGGCGGGAGCTGGGGACCCCCAAGGCCAGGGAGGGGGCTCGGGCCCCTGCCCGCGAGGACTAGCACCCCCGCCAGCTGCCCGTCTCTGGCCCCGCACCTCCTCTGCTTTTCCGTTTATGTTACGACAAGCTCAGCGGCCCCCAAGAATGTGGCAGCCATAAAGGCACTGACCAGACCGTTTCTGTGCAGGGCCGGGGGCAGGCAGGGGGCTCCACGGACCTCGGCAACGTCTCTGGCACAAACTCCTCCAAGGGGTAAAGCTCTAAGTTTCCTCCCAAACACGCACACCTGCCGGGCATCACGGCTCCAGGAATCATCCAGAAGGCCCAGCGGCGTCCCGAGTCCCGGCATCCAACCCCGGACTCACCTGGCTCAATGCACTGAGGAATTACTCCTGGCGGTGCTCGGGGGACCTTATGGGATGCTGGGAATCGAACCCGGGTTGGCCGTGTGCAAGACAAAAGCCCTACCCACTGTGCTATCACTCCAGCCCTGATATTGTTTAAATTTAATTTAAGACAATTATTTTTTCTTTTTGGGTCACACCCTGCCATGCACAGGGGTTGCTCCTGGCTCTGCACTCAGGAATCACCCCTGGCGGTGCTCGGGGGACCCTATGGGATGCTGGGAATCGAACCCCGGTCAGCCATGTGCAAGGCAAACGCCCTCCCCACTGTACTACCACTCCAGCCAATGGACCTCTCAACTCTCAAGTCTTTTTGTTGTTGTTCTAACTTTAACTTCTGGGCTGAGAGTTTCAGCCGGGTTCCCGTCCGCATCCCGGGCTCTGGGGGACAACGGACAGACATGGTCACTCGGCCGGGCCAGGGCAGCGACTCAGACCCATCTTCCCCTGTGCCCAGGTCAACGTGTCCTCTGGCTCTCGGGGGTCTGGACGGGCAGCCACGTGGCCACCTGTCCCCTTTGCGCCTGGCGTGCTGCCCGCTAGGGCGCAGGCTCGTCTCTCTGAGCTCCAGAACTCCCAGTGGGTCCGAGAGACACACCGGGCGGAACGGACGGTGGGTCTGCAGGAAGGAATCGGGGCGGGCGCTCTCCGGGAGTCATTTCCTCAGGAGGAAGACGACGAACTCCTGGGCACTGAGAAGGGGGAGGCCCGGCAGGGGCCAGACACATGGCACACTGCGCTCCGGCATGGACGAGTCCCCTCCCGCACCGGCTGCCGGCCCTGCACCCAAGGGGGGCGCGGGACACACACGTCTCTACCCGGTGGACACCGACACTGGCCCAAGCCAGAGCAGTCAGGCTCCAGCTGCGCTCAGGCACAGAGCCTACGGGGGCAGGGAGGGGGCGCCACACCTGACCTGGCTGACCCGGGGGGAACTGTCCTAGGGCCACAGCCCGCAGTGGGGCTGGGAGCACCACCCCGGGGAAGCGGCAGGAGCCGACTGTCCTTCAGCCCCCACCGCCGGGCTCCCCGCGCACGGCCATCTGGAGCAGAGCGCGAGGGCTGGACCCCCCGACATGTTTCCTGTTGCCTAGGAGGCTGGCCAAGCTGTGGGGGGGGGGGGGGTCCCTGCCCTCTGTCTGGGGCTTCCTGCCGGGCCGCCCCTCCCACGAGTCCTCTGACGATACGGCTGCTCCGAGCCCGGGCGCAACCCTCTGTCCTGTGGCCGTGGCTGTGCAGCAGGTGCCCCCGGCCACAGGGGCTGGCCGGCACCGCCCACAGGACGCCCTGAGGTGTGGCCGCCCCCCCTAGCCAGGCTCAGTGTCCCCGCACGTCCAAGTTCCCCAGCTTGATGCTGATGGCAGTGACCCTCCCCTCCCTCACTGGTCCCCAAGGGCGGGATGGCCGTGGCCTGGTCTGATGGTGGACGCCAGGGAGACGCTCGGCAGAGACCCGCGTGGCTTGGATTCCCCACTGGGCCCTGACCCCAAGAATCGCGTGGTGTGCGGTCAGGCAAGCGGACAGAGGCCGTGTCCACCTGCCTCCTGAGGGCCAGGCAGGCCACAAGGCCAGGAGACCGGGGCCAGCCCCTGGGGCCCTGCTGACACCAACATAGGAGGCACCATGTGACCCTGGAAGCGGCCAGGCACCAGCTCAGCTCCAGGGGACGGGGTGGGATGGGGCCGCCTGCAGGGGAGTGGGGGGGGGGGAGTGAGTGGCGGGAGGGCGGCGGGGGCTCGCTGCCCATGGCTGCCGGACAGCACCTGCCCCTCGGTCCCCAGGTCCAGCATGAGCCCGCGCAGACCCCCGAGTTCCCAGCAGTGACCCATCTCTGCTGCCCAGTGGAACCAGCAGCCCGGCCACGGGGCCCCTGACTCGCCCACAGCCGGGCACCAGCCCTCCACCCCCGGCCCCTGTGGGAAACGGCGTCGGGCAGCATCTGGTTCTGGGGGTGCCAATGCAGAACCCGGCCTGGCCCGCCCCACGGGCCTAAAATAAGCACTGACCGCCCAGAATAGCCCAGAGGACAGCTGGGACCCTGCAGCCGGTGTCGGGTGGCCCAGGCAGGCCAACACCCAGAGGGAAGGGCTCGGTCGGGCCGCCGGGAGGCAACCAACTGAACCACGGAGGCGAACACCCCAGAACGGCCCCCGCTGCCCAGCACTGCCCCGGCCACTGCAGGCTTGGGGGCTCCGACAGGGGGAGGAGACGTGTGAGTCGTCCCCGGGTCAGCGACCACTTGGGTCCCCCAAGTGTCACTCTGAGTTCAGTCAAAGAGCCAGGGGGACCCCTGAGTCACAGCCAAATGGACAATAAGGAAATCTGAGTGGTCAGTTAGGGGGGTGTCCCCAGGGCCAGGGCGCCCAGTGAAGGCTGCAGGCCACTGCTATGGAGACACCAAGTCTAGAACATTCCCTGCACACGTGCCCCTGGGTCATGTGGCCTAGTCATGTGCCATGTCACATGCCATGACACCCTGGCAGCCCACAGGACACGGCAGGCAGGCATTTGGCTTTGCACCTGCGTGAATGTTATTGGGGGAACTCCAGTTCCATCTGGGGGGGGGGGTCACACCGGCGATGCCTAGGGTCACTCCTTGCGGTGTGGCAGAGCCTAGGGGACCGTGTGGGGCGCAGACAAAACGCAGATGCCCTCCCCGCGAGGCACAGCCTGACGCTCTGCCAAGCTCCCTGGGGATGCCCACCCTGATGGGGGCAGCAGTCGAAGGGGCCCAGCACGACGTCACCACCTCAGAGCCACGGGCCCACGTACTCACCCTGAACACCGCGCACAGCTCCGCGCGTCCCCTCGGCCCTCACGCGGCCCCGTCAGAGCCCGGCCATTGGTGACTCCACTCTGGAAAGACACAAGAAGGAAAGACGGACGTCAAAACCCACTTCACGGCCCACGCAGCAGGGGCCACCCGGCCAGGAGCACAGGCTCAGCCGTGGGTGAGTGGATGACGGCATGTGGCCAGGACACGGGCTGAGCGTGGGTGACCCCCATGCTGTCTTCATGGCTACCACCCGACTCCCACCTCTCTGGCTAGTGGGGGGGGGGGGGCTGCACCTTTCACTCTAATTTGTTATTATGGGGGGCAAACCCAGCCGAGCTGGGGATCGCTCCTGCTGGTGCTGGGGGACACTGCGCGGTGCCAAAGGCCCAACCCGGGCCGGTCGTGTGCCAGGGGAGGCCTCTGCCCTCTGCGACCTCTCTGGCCCCAGCTTTCACTGTTCGGGGATCCGAGCATGGGGCAGACTCCAGGCGCGTCACCCACAGCTGTGGAAGGGCCACAGCTCCGCAGGATTTCACTGGGAAGGTAAAACAAGGAGGAAGTGAGACATTTCTCGTCCCACAAGAACGGGATGCGGCCAAGGAAGCAGGAAAGCACACGGGCTGACTCCGTCACGTGACAGTGACACAGGCCACTAGGCCACATGACAGCAACATAGACCACTCCATCATGGGACAGTGACACGAGCCACTCTGTCACCGAGTGACACGGGCCATTCCACCACGGGACAGCGGCATGGGTCACTCTGCCTCATGACAGTAGCCCAGGCCACTCTGAGAGGCGACAGCCACACAGGGCCACTCCATCACGCGAAAGAGACACGGACCACTCCGCCCCGGGACAGCAGGGTCTCCATGACATTCTGCACACGTTTGAACCTGGAGCAAGGAAGCCTTGGACTTTCCTCCTCAGACCCTTGAGCCAGCCCGGTCCTACACGCTCTGAAACCAGAGTCGACAGGGCCCTTGGCAGGCACCAGCCCTGCGACGTGTGCCAGGTGGAGGCAGGGCCGGCAAGGTGCCCGTCTCTGCCCCTTAGCACAACTGAGGACAGGGTCTTGGCCAGAGCACTGGGAAGTGCGGGGTGGGGGGTGGACCCCCCCTCTAAGGCGCTGCTCTCAAAATCTTCGGGACACCCCACCGCAGCCGTGAGAGCCAGGAGACCCCATGACACAAAGCCTGGGGGCTGCCCATGGTGGCCAGAAGCACTCCCTGGCGGCTTTCTGACCCGAGGGGCCCGTCCATGCCTGGAGAGGCTCAGGGTGCCGTGGTGGTGCCCACGGCGTGCAATACCCTGGCACTCTCCCCGGTTCTCCCACCCGGCTCCAGCGGGAAGCGCTTGGAAGTGGTCCGAGGGCGAGAAGTCCACGGAAGGGGCCGGGCGGAGGAGCACTCAGGGCTTAGCGACGCCCCCACCCAGATCCAACCAGCCCCAACCCGGCCCCCAACCCAACCACCAACCAGCCCCAACCAGAAGGGCCTTTCTGGGGTACAGACCAGCCCCTTGCTGCTCCCGGGGCTTCTGGAGGTGCCCTGCAGGGAAGAGCAGGTGGGTCCATGTCAGCAACCTGCAGGTCAGCTGGCCAGTTCAGCGACTCCTCTAAGTCCAGGGGAGAACTGGGCAGGGCCAGGGGAAGTGAAGACCCCAGCTGGGGTCAACGCAGAAGCCGTGTTCTGAGCGTGGGGGCGGGTCCACGGCCCCGCGAGGGTCCCTCACCCACAAGCGTCCCCCCGGCTGTGCTCAAAGACGCACTTTGTGGCTCAGGCGGCCCTGCCCTGGGCACTTCCTGAGCGGGGCACAGGCTATAAATACCCGAGCAGCAGAAGGCCGGCCCGCCCGCCCGGCGGGGGCACTCGGCACAAAGCACCTTTCATAGCCTGCGCGAGCCCGGCGGACAAAGCCCAGTGTGTCGGCGGGCTCCCAGACCCTCCCGTCTGTCCGTCCGGGCGGGCGCCCGCCTCCCGCCTCAGTCCAAGGCCAGGCCCACCCCAACCCCGGAGGGGCGGGGTGCAGGGAGCCCTGGACTGGGCACTGCAGGGGCGCCCACCCCGAGAGGCGCGAGAGCTGGATGGGTCAATTCCGGGAACTGGGAGACAAGGGGCCGAGGCTGAGCGGTCACCCCACTGGCCATGTGCTCATCGACACGGCAAGCGAAGGCCCCTGCCTGCCCCCGCACGCCCAGGTCCAACCCCGAAACCAAATTCTGGGGCATCCAAGTCGCCCGGGGCTCCCAACTTCCCGGGTGTCCGCGGGCACGGCTCTGCACGTGCTCACGCCGTTGGTCCGGTGCCGTGACACAGCCGGCCTGCGTTCTCAGGCCACACACACGGGCCAGCCCAGACTCCGAGCAAGCCTGGAGTTCCCGGGAGGTTCCGTCGCACTGACTGGGGCGGTGAGAGCCAGCTGCAGGCACCGAGGAGCAGCCCCAGGCAGGGCCTGCAGAGAGGGGCAGGGACGGGCTGGGGACTCAGAGGGGACCAGACCTGTGCCCGTCTCATGCTGGCGGGCGGAGCCCCCTGAGTCGGTCTGGCCATGGGAGTCTTACGTGGGGACGCAGTGCCAGGCAACCCTTGGAGGTAAGAACGAGGAAACTGGGGGGACGGAGCCCGCCCTGGCTCCCAGCCAGGCTGCGCAGGCGGTGAGCGTGGCCTGGCCCCCCACAGAGCGCCAGGCCCATCCTCCTCCCTGCACCCCTGGACCGGCCCTGTCTTGGCGCTCAGAGGGAGACGCGTTTCCCAGGGTCGGCTGGCAACTGGCAAGGGCGATCAGGAGCCCAAAGACCCACGCAGTGTCCATGGGGAAGAAGCGGAACAGCCGGGCACAGGCAACCTCCACGGTCATTAACAACAACAGAGAACACGGAACCCACCTGGACGCTCCCGCGTGACACTGCACAGTGAGGCTGGTCTGCGCAGACACGGGGGTCGTGAACGGGCCCCGGCCAAGGGCAGGACCAGAGTAACGGGCACGTGAGGCCCCGGGGCCACGGGACAACGGAGCCGCCAAACTCACTCACTGAGCACCACCTCCTAGCACTCACTCACCGAGCTCACATCTGCCAGCACTCACTCACTCAACTAAGCACATGCCTGCCAGCACTCACTCACCGAGCACACACCTGCCAGCACTCATCAAAGACGCCCGGCGCAGGAGGACGACTATCCTCCTTTCTCGGAGGGCCTGGGGGCTCAGGGGGCTCCAGGGTTACTGGCTCAGCGTCGCTGCCCTCCGTGCGTCTCTGCACTCTGAGCCGGCAGCCTGAGTCTAGCGTCGTGTCAAGGGACCAGAGCACAGGTGCTCAGGGCCGAGTGCTCGCCGGGGAGTGTGCGAGCAGGGCCCATGGCTGAGGTGCGTGAGTCATGAGCCCCATGAACACAAGCACAAGAGTCTACTCTGGAAGGAGGAAGCCCCAGGCCCACCCACGGGCAGGGAAAGAGCCAAATAAAACGGAGGCCCTGCCCTGTGTGAACGGCAGTCAGGGGCGCAGCTCGGACGGGAGACCCCCAGAACGGGCCAAGGACGGCACTCGGGGGCTCGGTGCCTGGTAACGCACGTGCCTGGCCATTACCCTCTGCTACCAGCGGGCGCTGAAGAGCGGGAGCAGGTGAGGGTGCTCCATGGTGGGGGGGGGGGGGACAGGGGTGCAGGTGAGGGTGTCACACCTGGAGCCCACCCGTGGGGGCGAGGGAGTCCTGACCCAGCCCGGCCCCTGCTCTCCCCACATCTAAGGGCCCACGGTAACACGCACGCATACACACACACACACACACACACATATACACAGACAAGCGTGCACACACACATATGCACACACGCACACACACCCCTGAGAAAGGCCTTTCTGTGCAGAGCCAGTTCTCACACATGCACACACACACGTGTGTGCACACACAATCACACATGCACACACAAGGGCACACCCCCTCCCCCAAGTACAGGCAACTCTGCACAGGCCCCTCACACACACACACACACACACTCACACACACACAACAAAGGCATCTCCCTGTAGAGCCAGTTCTCACACACACACACACACACACACACACACACACAAAGCACACACAAAGCGTCTCCCTGCAGAGCGGCTCTCCACGTTTCCCCGGCCTGTCTCGGGCAGGAGGCGCAGGGCGGGGTGAAGGCTGTGGCCTCCACCTGAGCCATGTGTTTTAACAGAAACTCTCAATATTTTCATTCACTGCGTCCTTCGCTGATGCACTTTCACAATGTGAGGCGAACGCCAAAGCTTCCCAGGCACCGGAGACCCTTCCACGAGAATGTGAGCGTCCATCCCGTGCACAGTGGGGCCAGCCAGGGCCCCTGCAGAATGGGGCTCTGCAGAATGGTCAGCGTGCCCCAGACAGCCAAAGGCGCCCGGGGCCAGACACCTGCTCTCTGGGACGGCAGGACGGCAGGGAAGGGGCTGGCCCCACACAGGGCCCTCCGGGCTCGGTCCCCAGTGTCCCATCCAGTCCTGAGCTGGCCCCTCTCAGGGCCCATCTGGGCTCGGTCCCCGGCGTCCCATCCAGTCATGAGCTGTCAGGAGGGATCCCTGGCGCAGAGCCAGGAGGAAGCCGAGCACCGCTGGGTGTGGCCTCACACCAAACAAAACACAACAAAACACAATAACAAAAAATAACCAAGTCCTCCCCTCCCTGGCAGCCAGCTCCCCTCTCCCCACCACGGAAGAGCGAACTGCCCGTTACAGGTGCCCCGCTAGCCTCCTCCACCAGGAGGGGCACAAACCCACGCACACGCTCGCGTGATGGGTGAGCAGCGCCCCACGACACCCTGGCGACGAAGTGTTGCCTAGCAACCCCATCAGGAAGCTCTGTGGACCGTGCTCACTGCAGCCCAGGAGCCCCTGGGAACCGCAGAGTCGCCCCAGGTAACCAGCGGCCGCCGTCAGACACGAGCACCCTCGGAGACGCCCACGGGAAGGGGCTGGCCAGGTCTGTGAACCAGAGACACGCCAGTCAGTCTCTGTGCACGCATACACACGCACTCACATGCGCACACACGCACACAACCACACGCGCGCGCGCACACATGGGGTGGGGCG